TCATCCACTGCGCAATGCAGTGCGCATCCTGCAATGGACGATGTACAACGATTGCATGATGAATGCATTCGGACATGCAATCGATTGTATTGATTTGAACAGCTTGTTGATTTAGGCCAGTTACACTACAGTACTGTACAATGTACATTGTGCGGTCTATTTTGCGCTTGAATATTGACAAGGAAGATAAAGATTGAAACTTGAACTGTACAGTGTACAGTACAGTACAGTACTGTACTGTCGAGTTTTCAACTGTATCTTCTTGAGTCCATTGTCCGCTACGCCATACAGTACTGTACTATTGCCTTATACTGTACAGTACAGTGCACGGTCCTGTACAGTACACTGTACGGTGCAGTATTGAGCAGGGACCTCTACAGTACGAAGTGTACAGTACAGTCCAGTCCTATGGACTGGAAGTATAGTACTGTAGGAAGACTTCCCTGACACTTTGTACTGGACTCCACAGTGTACAGTATCTGCCTACAGTACTTTTCAGCGTCATTGGACTGTACTGTACACTATACTGTACAGTACTGTACTGCGCTAGAGTTATTCGATTGCAGCGAATTCACTTTCTGTTATACAAACTTGTAATGATAATGCGTTACAAGTGTGAACGGCGTATAGAAGCCGCCGCAAATCCATACAAGAATTGCTGATTGAGAGCAGTACCAACCTTCAATTCGGTGGATAGTATCAACTCTAGACAGCAATACACAACAGTACCGTACTGTACTGTACTGTACAGCGTGTATGGAAAGTTTTTGGAGATTTAAATGAGTATTTCTATGAAACTGGGTGCTTCTATTTCGATTATTCAACAATACCTGAACGAGCACCAACAAAAATGGTCGATTCGTAAAAGTTACAGGAAAATTAGACCTACAAATACTACAATACTAAAGTTATGGGCTACAGAAGTTTTGATAAGAGTGTGTAGGTGTTCTATTGTCTTTTCTTTGTATTTTAGCCGACTACATGAAACCTGTACACTAGTGTACAGTGGAAGTACACTATGATGTCAGCCATCATTGCATGATGACCATCACCGTCAGAGCGATAGAAGAAGCTTTACGCGTATCTCTGCCGTCACCATGATGGTACAGAACGACAGGACTAGAAAGAAAACGAGCAGTCCGTGATAGAGCAAGCCAGTCGTTTGTTTTTGTTTGCTGTTGCTAGCATAAATCATTCACAGGTTTCACGCAATGCTGAAGCCGCTCTATGTACAGTACAATGTATATATACGTGACATAGATACAATTTGCTATTAACCAACTAATAGTCCATGCTATACACGACAGTGTACATCCTGTAGTTGAATTCAATTGGATCAATCCATGAATGGTCCCGGTAGGGAGTCAACACCACATAGTAGAGTACACGAAGGATCAGTATCGTCGTAATGGAGTCCATGCAGGATACAGACAGTACTACCTAATAAGTCATGATCAAGTACTAACTATAAAGAATACCTTAGTTGATGATTGTGAAGGAATCTATAGTACAGGCTATCAAGTTCATTTGACCGAAAACAGCGCAACCCGAAAAAACCCGATCAAAGGGTTGATTTTCTAACCCGAAATGACGACAATGCCTACTACAAATACACTGTAATACGACATCAATTCTGAACCCGAATCCCTCCCTCGAATCGGGTTCAAGGAGGGATTTCGTGCTGACTTTGATTGACTTCAAGACCCTGGTACAGTGTACAGTACTGTACCAGAGTCTGTACTCTTGTGAAGATATTGTACTGTACAGTACAGTACTGTATGACTTTCGACCGTGTTAGGGTTTTTACTGTAGCCTGTACGGTCCAGCAGACTGCGTTCCGAAGCTTCATTGGATCTGATCGATGACCTTTCTAGCCAAGTACAGTGTACCACACAGAACAGTACAGTACAGTACATCGGATTCTATTGGGTTCCGCTATTTTGGGTCCAATGCACTTGATCATCTGTAAGCCATGTACTGTACACTGTAGAATACCGTACAGTGTACTGTAAGTATCTACTGTACAGTACAGTACTGTACTGTACTGTAGTCCAAGACTCCACGGTCGTACCGTACAGTACTGTAGAATGACAACGACTACAGTAGACTAGGGTGAACAAACACACACTCAGTGTACAAAAACACTCATCTGCGCAGCATATTATCTGTACAAATATTAGGGCTAGGGTTAGCGTTGTGTATTACGGTCCGGTACGGTATTATGCTACAGTTCTGTACCGGTACCAACACCAGTCATGATCACAATCCAGCAAGAGTACATGTCTAGAAAAAGACACTCTGCCCATGGCAAGGTATGGTACTGCGCGATACGCCTGCCTATGAGTCCATTTAGCGCAGTAATCAAGGTTGACACCATCAGAAGCTTCACCCCTTTAGCTACAGATGCAACAAAGCGTCGACATCTTGTGATCCGGTGACATCCCAAGCGGTCGTCAAGTCAACGTGATGATTCTTCCTTGCCAATTTCAATCAGTCTAAGCTGCAATCGAAATCTTAATGGAAGGTTTGTTGCCATTTATTGGCATTCTTCGATGCCTTTCTACAGCTTTAACTTGTTCGATATTCAATCCATTGAATAATCAATCAAAGTAGATGGGTATTACAGGCCATGTTTCCCCCTCCAGTCGACAGTTGTTGTTATCACCCCCAAACTAGTCATCGTCATGCCTAGGTGATTAAACCTTACTTTACAGCTTCTTTGCACGTAGACTTCTTGTATCATCTAGACCCAATCAGCTTTAATGCAGTCAGCATACAACCATTTTATTACACCACTAGGATAGACTTATGATGGTAGTCATGGTAAGCAAGGACAATCTGCACAAGAGTGAAAAGGGAAAACAATACTTTACAGTACAGTATATTGATTTAATGGAGAAGCAATATTGTTGAAAGCCGGTCAACCTGGTTGCAAGCTATACAATCTTGTTTGAATCAAATTACCAAATGAGGATTCTCTCCATCAACAACGATATCCAATCGACAATCAGCTTAGTTCACTCTTGTAGACTACATCCTCTCTACCTTTTTGTACCCTATCAACGATTTAAAGTTGCTGATCAATTCGTATGTGTATTGTTGATGATTTTTTTTTTTTCTTTTTTCTCTTTCCAATGCCATTTGGATCTATCTGCTGTACTACCATGAAATTGCCTTCATGAATTGGCCATTCTCATTATCGTTCTTGTTTTGTTACCATCCAATTGCGATATTCTGACCGTCGCCCGCACACATGCAACTTAGATGCCAATATAGTTCGTACCATTTCTCGTATTATTCAATATTTCGACGAGATTTTAATCAATGAAAAATTATCAGCAAGAGCTGAACAACTTCGACTTGACTTATTACGATTAGCAACTGATTTACAACAAGTTGCACAAGCCAGTGAATTATCACGCAGTTCAAGATGGAATAGTACTCGTGGTCGATGGTCTGCCGCTGGCCAAAAAGATGCTCAAGATTTTGTATCTGTTCAACGTCAGATTGCACGAGGTGAAGTCGCTCGTCAACATGCTCACTATAAGACGATGCCGTGTAGGATACGCAAGCCTCGTCCCCAACTCTTTCAATCATGGTTAAAAGGAGATCAAGTCGAGGTCAGTTTCATCATACTGCTGTAATATTGCTTCAAAATGATTGCACTACAAGTAGATAGTAAAAAACTTCAAATTACAACCCCCAACGTAGCTTTAGCTTCTGTTCATACGATCTACTCGGATCCAAATCAAACCTTGTCTTGTAAACACAACAAGGAAAGACCACTTAAAATACAGTATATACGCGTATAGGACATGAGTAAAAATCTTGTATATCATCCATTTCTACAATTGATAGACCACCTAATCAATGTTGGATATCAATGTAATTACTATTCATTGGCCTAATTGTAGACCACAACGATCATTTCCTACTCCATTTTACATTTGTCCTATGATTATAACTGTCAATGTCACGAACAAACAGTTCAATTGAGTTGATGCAAGGGACAATGGAATGATTTACTGATTCATGTTTATCTCCTGTCTAATTTAGAGTACTATAAATGGCTTATGAAAATGAGTTTATTTTCCACCATCAATCATTTACATAGACTCGACTATGTAAAACAAAGTGTACTACATTTCCTAGTTATGAAAGAAAATACCGCGCGCATGTTTAGCAAAACAGATTGTATTTATGTTACCCCAATCAACGTCATATTTATCCTTGACAACACTCCGTTGATGATGATTAATGTCAATATTCCTTACCTTATGAATTGCAAACGAAACATCAATCAACAAAATTGCCAGCTCGCTAGACTCGACACTTGTACTGTATACAGTGCTCATAACAACCTTCATGAAAGTTCTACTACAATAATTATATTATTATTATTATTTTAAAGTACAATTAAAACGATCATACCCAACACTATCCCATCATCATTAATGTATTCTATCCTAGGACGACTTGAATTGTTAATTAAAACTGGACATTGCCAACATACAGTACAGTAGTATCCTAATCGCCAATGATGATCTACTCGCGGTTGCACTTTGACCTTATAAACAAAGTCAATTTATTCCATCTTGTAAGTTGGATTGTTTGATTTCTGCCACACTGGCGTCAAAGTCTCAATCCTCCCTACAGGGTTTCTATATTTGGTCTTAGTTAATGTTATATGAACTACACTTTATACAGCATACCATGAATAAGGATCGCCTTATCAGTGTTCCATTTTGAGGAGGACGATTAAATCAAAATGACCGTCACCAAGTAGTGCTTTCACCTAAGAATGATGCATGCTTAGGTTGCTGCACTGTATAAGATCGCAATTAGCGTATACCGTAGTTCGTAGACTCTTCAAAACTATAGACATCAGCGTATGACTATTAACCGTAACAATTATTGGACTAATAAAGAAAGATACATGCTTAAAAAGTGGCTATATTATAGAAGATCGCATGTGTGCGTATACTGTAGTTCATAGATTCTTAAAACTAGACATTAGCGTATGAGTATTAACCCCCAAAGGTTATCTATCTCAGCAAAGCAATATTAAATGAATATACATCAATTCTTCGATTAAATCAAAATGACCGTCACCAAGTAGTGCTTTCACCCAAGAATGATGCATGCTTAGGTTGCTGCAGTGTATAAGACCGCAATTAGCCTATACCGTAGTTCGTAGACTCTTCAAAACTATAGACATCAGCGTATGACTATTAATCGTTCAAAAATTATTGGACTAATAAAGAAAGATACATGCTTAAAAGGTGGCTGTATTATAGATGATCGCATGTGTGCGCATACAATAGTTCACAGATTCTTAAAACTAGACATTAGCGTATGAGTATTAACCCCCAAAGGTTATCTATCTCAGCAAAGCAATATTAAATGAATGTACATCAATTCTTCTCGTCTAGGAGCAAGAAGATGATTCTGTCTTTGATCAACATGATTCAAATCAAGATCAATCAGCGATAGCAGCAAATCCCGAAGAAAATGAAAAACTAAATGAGGAACGATATCTTGAAGTAGTTGAGTCAGATTCGGAAAAAAATGGAACAAATAGCCCAAAGCCACAAACAAATACGCAGGAATCGATCCAATTTAAGCAAGTAAATGATGTTGTTGCTATCAACATAGACGATGTTGTCCGTGTGGCCACATTTATAGGTCAAATATGTGAATATCGTGTCGACGGAATAAAGGAAAATAAATTGCGTTGGTGTGTCATTACCAAAGAAATGGACTTGTATCTATACGATACATTCAATCAACCTTATGTTAAAAAAATGAAGTTACCTGGTTATAAGCTTCATTTAATTAGCCAATATATGGGATCTTATCAACACTTTATCATCAAATTAAATCATCAGGATAGAGTCCCAAAGACAATCAGCTTTGTTATGGATAGTAAGCCAGAAGTCGTAAAATGGCTGAACTTATTTTGTCTTGCCACCCATCCTGAAAAACTGTGTAAGCTCTACCAAATAATATCGACTACTTTAATAGTAGTATCAATCAGCCAAGCATTAGTCTTAACCCCAAATATCATCTTATATTCAACTCGTGTATAAGTGTATTTAATATTTGAAATTACTAGCCATAGTTTGAAAAATTTTGATGCTATCATCATTTCAGTGTCTGTGGATCTGGTTGACGACGAAAATCCACCATCAAAATTCCAATTACTGCAACGACAAAAGCGCAATCATCATGCAACCGTTAGAAAACGCAACGTAGCAATAGCTAGCGGAGTTAAACAACCTAGAGCAAAATCAGTCGAGTCAAGTTATGACGATGATACATACGTGTATGACGATATATTTGCTCAGTTGAGAAAATTAAGAATGGTAGGTACAGTAGTGTCATTACTTAAAAATAATTGCACTACATCAATGACGCATACTTCTAATAACTTTCATCTATGTTACCTATTACAGTCAATATTTCATAGCAGTTTGCCAATCAATCAAGATTTTGAAAATATGCTAACTCAAATATCTGAACAAGAACAAATCAGAGTTGACGAAGAGAAATCGAAAGCTATGAGGCCTCGCAGTGAGCGTACATCTCAAGATCCAATCAACACGACTCTACGAACGACAATTGAAAATGGGGGTACTGTTCGATCGAAATCAGCTAATAGCCTTCGCTTGCCGAAACCAATCGATAGAACGATGTCAAATACAACTTCCGTTTCGACAACAGACGATTACTATGATCGTTCCGATAATATCAGCCGATACGAGATTAGCAGCGGTGCATCATCAGATGTGTACTTGCAGCCAAAATTAAAGCCAGCCCTTATCTATGAAGATGATAAATATGAGGTCCCTGTTCTATCAGAACTTGGTGCCACTGACACTAGTGTTAGGAAGGAAATGCCAATTCTTCCTAAACTTCGGAAGCCACCTTCTCCGCCCTCCTTCCGCCCGCGCAATAGAATACGACGGTTTATTAGCGATAGTTTCTCCGATAAATTCGATACTAGAGATCGAAATACAGAAGTAAGCTGTAGTATCCATTCATAACTTATTATAGATAAATAGCACGTGCATATTATACAACTAATTAACTTAGCTTGCAGATCAGTTTACTACTGCAGCGCTAATGCAATGTATCATATTTCGCATTATTTCAATAGCGCTTTGAAAAATTAGCCAAGAAAAGTTTAGTTAGTGGTTACCTGTTACGCAGTGGAGGAGCAAATATTCAACGCAAACGTTGGTGCATCCTCACGAAGGATAGACTTTATTTCTTTGTCAAAGAAAGGGATTACTTGCCGCGTTCTATAATGAAACTGAAAGACTGTCATTTAGATGAATCACAGTTGGCTGAGAAGGCTATTATTACGTTGATCTTTCGAAAATCGAAGCGTATTAAATTAACATGTACTAATCTGAATGAATATAATACGTGGCTTTCCGCTCTAAAATCTGCTTTAGAAGAATTTCGTGCCACGAGCTCAGATTCTGAAAGTAACGGGGTTAGTATAAGTTGAAAGATCTTCAAAAATAGGATGATGATATTCTTTCAACCTCTTTCTACTATCTGAGTACCTTATGCCGATTTATCATCATTTTTTCCTCTTTCACTCAGTCTAAGACGCCGAAGATAGTTAATGATACCTCCGATACCTCCGATAGCGACAACACTGATGTTGAAGATTCCCACGCTACTACCACATCTTCTGACAACACGATCAATGTCAGTCGAAGTATTACTTCTGTATCAACCAGTAAGTTGATAGTTAAATGATATCAAGTACATAATACGCTATTGTTCGATAGCTCTAAAGAGCTGATGCGAATTGTAAATATTTCTAATGGAAGGGTAATTTTTTGTACCAGAATCAGGAATTGTAATCGTAGATAGTGATCCAAGTAGTGGAGGTAGTGTATTAAGTTTCAACTATCAGCAACCATCCTTCTTCAGAAACGCCTTCCAAGGAAAATTAGATCGTTGTATCTTTGAAAATAATAAATATGTTTGGCAAAACCGTTGGTGTGAGATCAACAGGAGTATACTATACTGCTATGTTCGTGAACGGGATAGTATTGCTTGTGAGTTTCAGGTATCACTATATCAGTGTCGTGTTGAACCTGTTAACCTAGCGGATAAAGGTCGTCCATATGCTTTCAAACTGATTTCGTCTGATAACCAAGAACTTGCTACCTTTGCTCATGACAATCGAGAAGCGCTACAATCCGTTATAAGACTAATTAGGCACGCTGCTGAGGTAAACCTGTGCATCTACTTTTCGTATCATACATTTTAAAGACACCAAACTGATACAATGACGTAAGCGAATTCTTGCAATAAAATAACTTTGTTATTTTAAATTTTATTTTAATAGATGTCAAGTCCAGTCGATATAAATGAATATGCAAAAGCTGATAGCGATTTGGAAAGGAATGCCAAAACTACTAGTGCTAAAACGAAAAATGTCAAAAAACCTAAGCTACCGATGGCTCTATTTCAACAACGACCTTTACCGCCACCAGCTAGTAACCTAGGCAGAAGTAAATCATCACAAGACATTTCTAGCGAAGACGGTTAGCCTACATTGGGAATAAAACGATACTTATAAATTTTAGTAGACTGTGGTTAAATTTGAAAACTGTTAGCTTTAAATAGGAAACACTTCCCGTAATAGCCATTGAAAGGATATTTATCCTTTTTTTTACGTAACAGGCTTTTACGAAAGGAATTTACAAACTGCCCAAGGTTCAATTGACACTGAAGTCGTATACCATACACCAACAAGTGCTACATCTAAAGGATTTAGCGAAGAAATATACGAAGATATCGATAAAGCCAAAAACGTTATCTTAGATATGTATGAAGAGGCCAGTATAGCCACAAGCGGAGTATCTACAATTAATAAGGATAAAAACATTGAGGATTTATACGAGAAAGTGGACGATTTGAGAGAGGTAAGATGACTTTATTTTTGCTCTGGAAGCACTATTGACTTTGCTTTCATTTTATTGCTTACTTTAATATTTCAACAGAGATTACGAAAGAAATCAGTCCAGGTGAAGCCAATTACCGAGACTAGCTCTAGTTCGAATGCTTCAAAGTCTGTAACACCCCGACATCAGTCTTCTGACTCAGCCAAAAATATTCCTACTGATTCTGATAGTGATATCGGTGCTACTTCACCCCTGTTTAACTCGGCCAATTATGCCTCACTGAATAAGTTAAAAAACATGAATAGAACTGATTCCGGTAGTAGTAGTCAAAAAAGCTTAGAGGCACCATTTCCAAGTAGAACCAGAAGTTCATTTTCAGATGGAGAAATGACAGTTATAGAAGGGGAACTAAATTTACCAAAGCAGTCAACAATGAATTTGACCTTTAAGAAACGCTGGTGTGTAGTTAAAGCATCAGATAGTCGTAGCAGGTATAATTTTGCCCTACATACAATATACTCATATTCCAAGGCTTACTGACTGATTGTTTAGTTCATTTTTTACTATTACTAACCGATTATATTTATATCATCAACTACGATATAGATTACTCATCTTTCGACGCAAAGGCGATCGCAAACCTACTGATGAATACATTTTATCCAAATTGCAATTATTGGTTGACAGTAAACTTCCAAACGAATTTAAGCTGAAGTATATCAGTGGAGAAAATGCCGGCAGCTCTCTTCATTTTCAGGCATTTGGTAGAGAAGAAGCGGCTGCTTGGGCTGAAAAATTACTTAAGCATACCATTATTGCAACGCAATCAGATGCCTCTATAGTAGCCAGTTTCATTGCAGAAAATTCCGCTAATTCAGGCGTTAATACTCCTACTAATTTTTCTAGAACTAGGAGTAAACGGTTCTTTACAGGTAAATACGACTGAAAAATGATCGTTATTGCTATATTTTATATTTTGTACAATATACTAAAGTGTCATTTAATTTTTGTGATTACTAGCTATCTTTGACAATAAAGGAAGATCGAGTAGCTTTACTGACGTACATTCAGAAAAAAAAATGGGTAAGGCGATCCAGAAACGGTTAACAGCGACTATTGAAAGGGATGAAAAGGTATCAATGTCAATAAATCAGCTGATGCAACGAGAATCGCAATTGCAAGCTCAGGTTGAAAAAATTACTTCTGATCTAAAGCGAACTAAATTGGACTTACGTAATGCCCAAGATACTCAAGTTAAAGCATCTTCTACCGAGGCTAAACTTGCTAGTAAGACATGCGAAAAATTATTTAAGAAGATGCAATCACTTGAACAGTCGTTGGAGAAAACCATACAAGATTTAAATAAGACGCAAAGTGACATCAAGCGTCTACAATCTAGACGCAGCTTTGGTGACATGCAGATATCACAGAGTTCGCCGAAAACGAAACCTCGAAAGTAGAACTTGTTATTGGTCGACGATATCATAAGATGAATGTCAGATGTAGTTTTACTTAACTCAAGTCTTGTATGAACTACAATTGATATCTTATTTTACTTTTATCTATTCATATGTGTATCTCTGCTGCAGCATAGTTCTATGATATCAACGACACTGAATCAGAATAATTTATTATCTACAGGTGTTATGCCAACTATTGCTGCTATACTTCTATCTTTAGTTATTTTCACATTTATCGTTCAAGATTTTTATTAGTAATGCGGTGTCTGATCAAAAAGTAAATAGGTTGATATGCATTTATATACACTCATATACATAATACATATATATATATATATGCCATGATAACATCTTTTATTTGATTATTACCATAGCGTTCGATGTTGTAGTAGTAGGCTAAGTCATATCTGTTTTAAATGCGGACTTTACACCGTGATAATTTGTCAACGGAAAAATATATACATACGCGCATATCATTATTAGAGAGTAATCTTCAGCTTATTTAACCTTTAAGGTTCAGTGACAGCTTATCAAGTCGGCATGATTATTTTAAGTAAAGCATCAGTTTATTAGACAGCATTGTAGTTATAAACTACATTATTATACACATATTCTTAGGCTGTATTCGTTTTTATTATGTTGGGATCGTTCGTAGAGTTGTAGCCGACTAAACAAATCTATGAACTAAATCTTAATTGATTTAATGCACAGACTTATCATTATTTATTCTCGGCTTTCATTTATAATAGAATTTAAAGCAAGCCTATACGTATCTAAAATCGAAATGATGTAGATATAGTATCCATTGGATCAATATAAGATGTATCTCATGCTAAAATGTATCGTCTATCATAAATTAGTTTTTATACGGTAATATTTACTTGGTGTTGACACTAATGGTCTGGATATAATGCATATTTTTATTAATGCGAGATAATGATGGCTAATGATCAGATTTTCTCCTGAAAGTTTTAACTATAAGATGTTAACAGTTCTTGAAAATTATAAGCTTTGCTTAAAGCATATTGTGCAATTTACTTCATATTATGCCTAGGTTTTAAATTTATATCTTGGCATATTATATCCAAGATTCTAGCAAACACATCGTGTATGTATTCAGTATCGATGGAATGAATATGTAAATATTCAGTCATGTCGTGTGCGTAAATTTTTTCAGTTATTATAATTAACGGTGCAAGATTAACTATTTAACGATATTGTGGTCTGTTTTTGTAAAAACTGCCATTTTACACTAGAAGGAGGGAAGTGATGTGTTAAAACTTGTACAATGCGGTGAACTTTTAACTTGGGTTATAAATGGAATGGTCGATCATGTTTTAAAGTGTGAGCTTGTTATTATTGAAGTATTTTTTAACACGCTATCTTACTCTGTTTAGTAATAAAAATAACAATAAATAGCCATGTTTCTTGTGGAAAATAAAACTCAGCTTATGTATAACCCTTTTCTCTTATTGATATTCAACAGTCAAATTCAGAAATTATAAACAGTAGGTATTCAATCCCAAATTATCACATTATATGACATCTACAACTATAGGAGATCGCAAAGTGTCTACGTTGCAAAAGCTACTTAAAATTGCTACAGATTTTGAGAAGCTATGATATGAGGATGGAGCGTCCAACAAAAATATTTCTCCTAATCTACTGTTATATTATTCTGAATAGTAACCCTGTTGTAAAGGAATTAACAAGAGTCATAATATATCATCGTATATAAGTGTCTAACCTTTTCTAAATCTGATTTCTCATTAAGCCAAGTTAAAGTTAATGTATGGCTAAATTTCGAAGATTATTTAAGTTGAAAGGTATTTCTTAAGATTACCACTAGCAACACATTTTTTAGAAATGTCACAATTTAAGAGGCTTCTGAATTGTGTATGCGTCAGTTCTAAAAATAAAATTTACTCACATAAATGCAGCAGTAAATATTGAAATTCCGTTGAATCAACCTGATGAAACTGCAATACATATTGATTGGTAATACAAATCAGCCTACTCGTCCTTTTTGATTTATGCGTAGATCTTATCACTTGAATAAATAGTCAACGGTGTGAGATAAAGTAATAACAAAAACAGATCAAGACAAGTTTAAAAAACACCATCGATTTGTAGAAGCAACAATTAAACATGAAATAAATGATAAACAATTCATTTAATTTGATTTAACACTTCAGCGCTTCATCCTGTCATCATTACACTTTCAAAACAAAATTGTCTCAGTTACAAACCTCGTCACTGCGTAAATAGTCTTCAAGTTAGGATGGTCTAACACCTTATTTATTCGATCCTTTTTACGCAAGAGATGATTATGAATGAGTCAAGATTTTCTTACAACGCTAAGCCATCACTTAACCTGCATCCCCTATCTAATATACAGTGTCTATATCCGGATTTTCAATTATAAAAAATCATGTCTAGGTTAAGCGTTTTTATATTAATTCAATTACTATTATGCAATTATAGTAGCATAATTGAAGCTGCTGCTAAGAAAGCTGGTAAACGAAATGTACAACGAAATAGAACCGGTAATAAAGGTTAGGATACAATCATTGCCGATATTAAATATGGTAATATTTATAATTTTCATATTTTACTTGGAACATAGGTTTTGGATTTTGTCGTTTCGAATTTATGTGTAGCAACAGACGACAGTGTATTAAAATGAACTATATTTGTGATGGCGTTAAAGATTGCAGTGATTCTTCGGACGAAAGATTTTGTAGTAAGTACAGGTGTATGAATAGTAGAAGCTTCATTGAAACAGGTATCGACTATCAATAAGATTGTCTCAAGTTACAGATCAAATAAGATAAAAAATAGAAATTTGAGGAAATTATTCATTTTATACTTTGATGAACCATAAAATTCATCCTGCTTAATATTTAACACAAGTGGTTAATACTTATCGTTTAGAGTAGTAGACAGGTAAGTCAGATCTTGTTAACGAAACTCGATAGCTGTACTCTGTAGTCTGCAGAATATATCGGTCCTGCATCTATATCAACTGGACGACCTCTGGCGAATAACTATTGATTGTGATCCAACCCTTCATATAACCTTTTAACTAAATTTTAAATCATCTAGAGCTGCTTAATTAATAAGGCATGTATCACCTCTATATATTGGTGCCAGCTCCATGAGTAGTATCGCTTCTGAAACACTTTGACGACAGATCCCTCCTTGCAGAACCATTAGCATTGTATAGAAGGCCAGGTTCTACTTCTTAATTTTAGTTCGCTTTAATGCCCTTCTTAGTGTGCAGTTCATGTGTTCTACGATAAAAAGTAAGGAGGTTAAATACTCTAACATAATGCCGGTTTTGTTAAAAATATGGAGAAAAGTGCTAGGCAAGCTAGTCTTCTAACAATTGTTGTTTAGTGAAGCACTATGCTAGCAAATCACAAACTGCTTTTGTATGATAAAATTAGATATAATAGGCTAGAATTCAGCACGCACATACTCGTATATCCGTCAGCATCAATTACAGGTACTGTAATTATGGCATTGCTAAAGCAGTCTATAGTCTAGAATATACATATGCTGTATCTGTTCGTAGTACAGTGTAAAACTTTAATTATTGCCAATTATATCATCGATATTGCTTCTGTTACTAGTATCACTTTTATGAGGCAATCTGATAGCCGATGTTAATAAAGCACGAGGTTTGTAGGCTATACCATATTTGTCAACGTGTTTTCTACCATTATCAATTCTAATTTTTATTACTGAGGGAAAATTGTTGTCAGCATTACCTAGGGCAAATTATAATTTCGTATATTACGCATCTCTACCATCAATGCAAATTTTATTGCAACTATGGTTCTCTCATATATCTCGGTAGGATGATAAATATGATAAATATGATAAATAGATAAGAATACAGTATTGACCTAACAGGAAATATTCTAGCCTATATTATATCAGATATTCATATATTTTAAAATTACGAAAATACAATCAAATTTGGATATTTAGCAAAATATGTCGCAATATCATGATCGCTTTCTTTTTAAAGTACATTGCGTTAAGAAAGGATTTCGTAGAAATGATGTAACCGACAATATATGAGAATATATAATTAGGCATTATATATTCTAGTCTATAACCCAAACTGAATTTATATACAGCATTGATTGAGCAAGGATTCTTATTTCGCGTTAATTTTCTGGCTATTCGCCGCCTTATTAGAGTTCTATTGTAACACAGCAAGAGATAGATCACGCTCCGCCTTTAATGTAACATTTTATTTGTCCGGACTCTTAATAACATACTTTACGAAGACATTATCTAATCATAAATCGAGTCGATCCTGGTCGATTAGTAAATACAACGCAATGATGTCCTGATCAAATTCTGTAACTAGCACTATAAAGTTGATTTCAGTGCATCTTTCTACCGAGCTAATGCTATCCATGAATTGGTCCATCACGCAAATTAATTTGCACTTATTTCAATTACAGAAATCATTGATATCAATGATATAATAGTGCATTAGTAGACTATACTTTATTGCACTCTAATTAATATCGGCTTTTAATGAATTATTTCTTACCGATAATGGGATTGGCCGTGTTATGACGCATTCCTGTACTCTATAAGGCTTCTTGCTTATCCATAATTTGATTGTGAAGACACTGTGTCTACAAGAATGGCTAGACAACTTGCAGACAGGGTTGGAACATATCGCCCTTGAGAAAAATTACACTTCATTCAAAAAAATAAACCATCTTGTTTATAATTTAAATGATCAAAACCAGAATCATATAGAGTAAAATATTAAAATATTAAAGTAACATGTAATGCTGTTGTCAAAACTTGATATTAAAATAAAAATTAAACTAAGAGGAAACTGACAGCATTTGACATGTTCCTGCATGCTAACGTTATGGTTCTGATAAGCAAGGTGAAATTTTTCTTAATTTTAAGATTGTGTTAAATTAGTTCTAAACTATACTTAACTATAGAAAGCTTTAACAGAGTACAACAATGCTCTGATCGTGAATATCAATGCGAAGATAACAGCGGTTGCTTTAGGTTAAATCGGGTTTGTGATAGTAATATTGACTGCCGAGATGGCTCTGATGAAAAGGATTGTGGTAAGTACAGTATATATGCTTATGACAGCTTCATTTCCTGCAGTGATTATCAATTAGAGTAAATTACGTAATATCAACTTCTTTACAAAAATATTAGCTCTGACATAGCTGATTAATTACTGTCGATTGCAACAAATGAAAATTATCTCTATCTCTTACCAGCCTCATTTTAAAGATTTAAATACGTTTTATATCTCAAGGAACACGCAGATCTTGTCCTTCTACTCAGTTTAGCTGTTCTGATGGGAAAACGTGTATTGCTCGATCCTTAGTATGTAATCGGCAACGTAATTGTCCCGATGGATCAGATGAAAGAGACTGCTGTAAGATACTATATACATTCAATTATTAAAATGATATAGGAAGTCTATTCGTAGTAATTAATTATAGCAGAAACGAATATCTATACATCCAGAGCTTAATTTCTCTATCATCATGCTAAACGAAATGACACTTTACATAAATTAGCGCGAAATAAATAAATACTTTTAATAATAACAAATCGTGACAATTAATATTTTTCTCCTTCTAGCTAAACGAATAATATGTTAGTACTTTTTGCCTTGATATACCAATATCTAACGGAGTGGATAATAGCGTACAAAAATGTCATGATATGCTATAAGTAAACTTTAAAATAATGAACCATAATAATGAGCTTGGTACCATTTTGTAACCTATTTCATTTGTTTACTTACTGATTAACTATGGATTGTAGCAATTAGTCAGCGACGATGTGGTAGCAAAGAATTTGCTTGTCTAGATGGCAGCGGCTGCATTGCAAAATGGCGTATCTGCAACGGGGAACAGGATTGCAATGATGGATCAGATGAATATAGCTGCTCAAGTACGAAAATTATGACTCAATAGGATAACTGCTCATAGAAGAATACTCCTAGCTTGCTTAGTGTAAAATTGACTTGAAACGCATATTGATGAACGAATTATGATTATAAAAAAGATCAATAGTATCTCTTTCGGTATTGGTCTAGGAAATCGTTGTGGTATTAGCCGCTTTAAGTGCAAGGGTAACGATCAATGTGTGTCTTCCTTTCAAGTTTGTGATAAAATCCGTGACTGTGTTGATGGGTCCGACGAATCTCAATGTGGTATGCAAGCAGTAATAACGATATCATGATTCGGTGCATGTAGATTTATCAGCTATGGTCATGGTCATACAGGAGCTAAAGTTTTTTTCAGTAGTATGGCTATCGCTAGGGCTATCAGTCTAGACCTGAGGCTATACATAGAAATACTGCAGTTTTAAATATCAATAGTAGAAATGAAGGCATACGAAGTCATTTTTGTTCTCTACATTGTCCGTGCATAACGTAACAGAACAAATCCTTTTTACCCAATCATGTCACTTGCTTAAATATTTATCGTTAGAAATGGTCATTATTGTATTTAATAAGTAGTTATTTTATTCGTCCTTAATAAGCTGATCGAAAAGAATGTGGGGATCGATTTTCGTGCTTTAATGGCAGAGAATGTATTGTTAATGAAAAGAAATGTGATGGTTATCCTGATTGTTCTGATTCATCCGACGAGCTCAACTGTGGTGAGTATAAGCTATCCAATGCTACTTTACGGAGTTTAAATTTCTATCATACGTGTCATATATAGAAAAAACTGTATTTCTAAAGCAATAAGATCTGAGTTAAATCCTTTTAAATAACCAATATGAAATTTTAATAACAATGATTTGGATAAGGTCGACAACAATGTAGCGCAAGACAGTTTGAATGTCTAATCACCATACAATGCATCGATAAAGATAAAGTTTGCGATAATAATGATGACTGTGCCGATGGCAGCGACGAATTTGGATGTTCTAGTAACGCTATTAAATCAATTTCTCGCGTGTAGTGGATTACCTAGTTCAAGCAAAGTAATTTAAAGTATAACACTGGTCATGTATTGGTTCATATTATGTTAAAATGTTATATTGTAATTAAAGATACTCATGCACGTTTGCATCATAAACTGTTCAATTATACCAATATCATCCAAACAAAATTTGGCTGCAGAAATAAATTTACATCTTTACTTTTACGAAGTGTTTATCTCTTGTTTTGATTTATCATCACAAAAGCAACTATTCCATTATAACGTAAATGATTAGGCAAGAGTAGGATTATGCATAACGCAGTTGAAAAGTAACATTATTTTTTTACTTGCAATTAGTATTTCCAATACAACATCTTTATATATAATGCCAGTGGATCAGATTATTGCATGATAAATACGGTATAAATGGCCGGACTCAATTTTACGAATACAATGTATTTCAATGCTGTGAAAACAAATAACAAATTGTGTAATGCTATCGACAACGATTTTATGATAGTTGTACGCATCAAAAACTTACGTATTTGAAATATTGTATAAAAATTCAATTAATAATATAGCTATACAGAATCCAATCCAGATATATAAATTTTTAATAAGCATATTAAGACAGTAGTTGTACATGTATTAGGCATCATAATTCTATGCAATTACACAATAAGTAACAAATACTGTGATAAAATTTATAAAATTTATAATAAGTGAAAAGATATTTGTGTTTATATTCATTATCAATTTATACTTGTACTGTTTGTTGTAGATTGGCTCGGCAGAAAATATTTTGATTTTCCACTTACAGCCCATAAAAAATTCGCTCACACAGCTTACTCGACAGCTAGTTCATAATCATGCACTAAAATGATTACGTATTATCGTTGTCGATGGCGCATATTCCAATGTAAACAATCGCTAATACTTATAAACCAGTCCTCAACTGGATCGTTGGCACAAATACATGCTAGAGGATGAATGGAAGTAGTGATGCAAATACTAGAATGAAGAAAATGATAAATTTTGATAATTGGTTACGACCTCATGTTAAACGTAACACGAGTATATTCGGCTAACACTGGTAATGCTAGAAATCACTTACTAATCATCAGGAGATAATTGTTGACGTGATCGACCATCTACTGAGATCCACATTGGTCCTCGAGCATTCTCGGAAGTTTGAATTTTTAATTGCACTCCGGCGGGTAAAATAACTGGTCTCGATGACAACGCATGAGGGCAAATTGGAGTAAATAATATTGATGGGACACACGGATGGACCATGCAACCTCCGGATGCAAGAGAATAGGCGGTGCTGCCAGTTGGAGTAGCAATAATCAGCCCTGTTAAATAGTAAAAGTGAGAGCGTTTAAATTATTAAGCAGGATGTTAGCTGAAAATTGGACCACAGTTTGACGAAATCGGTCAAATTCAACTTTGTATAATTTCACACACTGCTATACTGTGGGCATGATCGTACCGTCGCCTTCAATGTTCGTTATATGTCGCTCGTTACAGATGATATTAAGATTAGTTAAAAAAGCTGATGGTCCACGATCGACAACAATCTCATTTAGAACCTAAGAAAATGTCGTTTATTTCGGATATATTTGCAAGTTTATGGGTCTTTAAAGATCTTATAAAAATTAGGTTAATAAATGGTAACTTGACTTACAGCATGTTTCTCTACTGTTTTATTCTTACTAAAATGAATTTCGCACGTGAGGCGATTACGTAATGCTACTCGAGGATTGTCTAGAGTAAAAAAAGAGATTCTCTATCAGTAAAAGTTAATTTCATTGAGCTTCACCTTTATAACAGTATCCATAGACTACTAAAGGTTTTCTTCTGGTAGTATATGCAGTGACTAACCATCCAATACTTTATCAATAACCGATTTGAAATCGCTTATTTTAAATTTAGTTAAAAAGCCAAGGGTCCCAAGACTAAAAGCAATTACAGGAGGCGCATTTTGCTAGTAAAGGGAGATGAAAAAGTTATTAACTCATGTTATTGCAATCAATGCGGTCCTAAGCTGGTTACTTAGAAACCTACAACGATGTCATAGCGGGCACGAATAGTGGAAGACTAAGCAGTGATAAATCTGCTAAATGATATAGTATTTTAGTATCATTTAAAAAGGGTACTTATTTAAGATAATTATACTTGAAAAAGAGATGATGCGTGTAGAAAAGTGCCATCGCCACCAAGGCAAACCACTAGGTCAACCAGTTCCAATTTATAGTCATCTATTTCTGAAAAAAACAATGTTAAGACACTTCTGATGAGTATATAGTATGCGCTTTATTATAACAACACTGCTACAAGTCTATAGCTTGCCCATTAATAAAAGATAAATTAAACCAGCTAAATTCAACATTGGGACTATTTATATTTCGACGTATGCAATTATTTTGTAAATTACCAATATTAATTGTTAGTAAATTTTGCAATGTGCTGCGGAAATGATGATCATCAACGATGCCAGGTTGATGTTTAACAGATTCCTCTATATATACTTTCAGCTTCCTTTCCTGAAATAATAGATTATGAAATTATTGGTAGTTATAGGGCTGTTTTTCAGATCAGGGTATGAAAATAGTCACTAAGATAGATTACATACTATTTGAAAATGTGATGATTATGAAAACTATAAAAATACTACCTCTAGAAGCCATTGGACAATTGCCTTAAATTCTTCAGTAACTGTATCATCCATATCCTTTTTAACTACTAATATAGATGTAGCAGGAGTATGCCAACCCAGCTGCTGATCGGCAGGATCTTGAAGCACCCTGAGTAATATACCCCGATAACAATAATTCAATGTAGCTCAGACTAGCATTTAAAATAGCATTGATAAGACTTGACATAGGGATATAGAATAACCTAATAGATTAATATAATCAAGCGACAAAACCACAATCACAATGCTAAGTGATACAATTCAAGAATAAAATGACATTTATTTTCTTTTCATGTCAACATGGAACAAAGTCAATGTCTTACATTCCATTCTTAATTCCCAGCATATAGGCTTTCGGTCCAAATGTCATTTCAGGTGGACGAGCATTTAAAGAATAACTCCTGCAATAATAGATGGATGAAAGAACTGAATAAAGTAATTATAATATTGTAATCTATTGGCAATAAGGTATACTAAAAATAATAGTCCATTATAACCATAAGAGTCGGGTAGCTATTAATGGTATAAAAATGAATTCAAAAATAAAAGTGATAGCGATGCTGTGGCGAAAATATACCGTGCTGCAATGGGTAGGAAGCAATTCTTTGCTCCTCTCCCATCTTGACCCTATACAAGAAATGTATCTATGTATATATTCAACTGCTGTTTAAAATACTATTTTAAGAATGTATCATTCTCTGAACTTATTTGTTGTACTTATTAGTGATGACAAAAGCTGCTACAAGATTGATTGATTCTTGTGCATGTCTACTATCCAAAATAAAATTAGCAACCATAAAGAAACATGTTGGTGGAAATTGATAACAATTTTCAGTATGCTAAAGTAAAAAAGAAAGCCAAAAACAATATACACCATAGTTGTGATGGTATAGATATACTGCATGTTTCTCATTGTAATTGTTGCAAATGGAATTGGATAAGCCTTCGGAATGTTTATAAAGGTTTAATTAAACTAACAATTTAAGAATGTGAAAGGAATCCAATGAGAAGTTGGCTCTTTCTCATGTGCTTCATGGATCGTACCCTGATGGGATCATCATTTGATGTTGAAGGTTGACAATCGCTTTTTGAATCTTACAGTCTACTACTGTCGCCATTTTTTTTCTCATTTTCCGCCTCCCACTATGGATGTATCATATCATATGGGTAGAATGGATTGACTATATCGGTCATGACTGGAAGCATTTAACAGTACCTTGTAGAAGATGTAGAGTATGCCTACAGTATAGAGGTACTGTTATTGTAAGCGTGTTTATACCGATGAAGAAAGTGATGTTGGGTAGATGAAGGGGAATAAACTGCTATGTCAAGCTGTAATAAAGAGAGAACTTGTCTTACAACTTATTCATCAATCTTCACCTGAAGCTATAAACACTCGTATCTTGGAATATAGGACTAGCCAATGCATTGATACTTCCCTGATGATCATTGGATTGATTATGATCATGATCTTGGAGATAGAGCTTTTCCCCTTTCTCCATCATGTTGCTATCATGATTTAAGGGAGATCTCGATGACGTCGTGGTTGTCTTTCTCCCTGAAACGATCGCATCGTCAGCTCCTAATGTAGCCATGACTATAAGAACATAGCGTTATTAGCCAGGAATACAACGGAGACTAATGGAAACGATGTTGTTGTTGTTAACAGAAAAGGAAGATTAAGGATCGATCCAACGCGATGTTCGATGCTGTTATGGCACTTTTTGCACTAACATCGATCGTTGTAAGCAGACATGGACAGTTTTGATCAAGTAATGAATTCTTGGAGACAATGCTGTTGTTGTTGACAGAAAAGGAAGATGAAGGATCGATCCAAAGCGATGTTCGATGATGTTATGGCACTTTTTGCGCTAACATCGATCGTTGTAAGCTGACATGGACAGTTTGATCAAGTAATGAATTCTTGGAGACACTGTTGTTGTTGTTGACAGAAAAGGAAGATGAAGGATCGATCAAGCGCGATCTTGGATGATGTTCTTGCGCTTTTTGCACTAACATCAATGGTTGGAAGCCGTCATGGACAGTTAAATCAAGTAATTCTTTAGGCTAAACCACAGTATCCACTGCTTGCAATGGCCACTCTCTTCTTCTCCAAATAGGTTGGACTTGGATGATGATTTTTTTGCTGCGTGATGATGACCCTGGTCGACCTCGTCCCCTCCTTCTCTTAGTAGTGTTGCTCAAACAGTCGTATCAGCCTACGCTTTCTACCAGTCCAATACTAGTGGCGCTGTACTAGACTGAACAGTCGATGACAAGTCCCACCCTGACAGTCATTGGAGTGTTACCCAGTACCAGTACCAGGGTAAAATGCCCCTGGTCGTTGCATTTTTACACTGTTTACTATACCGTAGTTGTGGCCGCAAGGATTGACGGTAGGTTGGGGGTTATTTTGCGTATACAGTGTACAGTATGACAGGAGTGTCGGGTCACTTGGTATGTTGTGAATGGAATGGGACGCCCATCCGGAACGACGATGCCACTCAAGTATTGAATAGAGTCTATCAAATGGGGCGAATTTACGTTAGCACGTTTACAATTATTTTGCTTCAGAAGCAGAAGAAACAACGCTAAACAGTACAGTAGTATACAGTCCATTCAGTCAGTGGTTCAATGTTCTAAAAACGCCGAATCAAGTCTGTATCATGGAGGTCAAAGAAAAGCCTGTGTGGTCATTGATGCCAATAAGTCCGTTTCAAGACCGTGAGCAGTCACAGTACTGTACACTGTACATCCATGTACTGTAATGTACTGTACAGTACTGTCAATGTCGACGAGAAACTGCGCACTCTCTTTCCTTTCGGTTCAGTGATCTGGCACAGTGTACAGTACTGTACACTGTACAGTAGGTTTCATTTCGAACAGTAGTACTGTACAGTACAGTACAGTAAAAAGACAGCGTTGTTCACAATGAAATGTCTGTACTGTACTGTACAGGTACAATATGTACTGTACTGTACTTGGACCACTAGAAATCCACCTAGACTAGACACTCTCTTCAGATGGACGGACTTTCTAAGCAAATGCGACCCCAAAATGTCCCAAAATAGTTTACTCACTGTCAGTATGGATCTTCCGTGTCTGTTTTCCAAATCATTTGTATTCATTTCCATAACATGGATGATCTAAAGCTACTCATTCCAAGCAGAACTTAGTAACAGACAATAGAATGCAGTGGAATATTACTTCATTTAGCTAAAATCACTTCATTCAGAATCGACTGTCTGCATACTCAATTTTACTTCAGTACTGTAGTGTCATCATCAAGTGTTGCGACACAATTTATTGACCAAAATTGGCGTAATGTCTGTCCGTCCATAAGAGTGGACCGTATTCTATTGTCTGCATTCGATACATTATTCCCAGTCAATGCTCTCCAGTACTCTAGAGGACAATCTATTGTTAAAATGAAAGCGCAACGGTCACGTGCAATCGTATCAATTCTCTTCAAGCCTGGTAACTGTATGTAAGCGATCATAATACCCACAGTACTCATAGAATAGCGTAGCATGACTGGTGACTACAATTGAAAAGGATTGCAATGAAAGCGAAAGTTTTCATAGGCTATGGCTTCGCTAACCAAAAAAGTTCCATCACCAGCGGGCAGACAAGCTTGTAAGGTTGCAACTCTTTTCCATCAGTAAAGAAACAACTTCCTAACGTTTAAAGTGAAGCCCATATTGTGGAAAATTTCAAACGCGTAAAATGAAGATCCAATCAAAAGTGATCAATGTCACAGCAAAATCCTTCTCGTACTCTATGGAGTTTAGTCAAGAACAATATCAATGATGGAGAATATAGATATGCGAGAATGGATCAATTGGAATCAATCATGTACATTGCAATGCAAAGTACTTGCCATTTCATAGCTACCAATAAGATATTATAGTAGATTACGGATTGATGGTAAATAACGGAAGGGAAATGATGGTTTAATCTGTAATCAATGATTAATTAATTATTCAAACACAATATGGATAAATCTCTTGACAGTGAATAAGCCAACTACGATAGACGTACGGTTCATGCAGGTATACGAGTATATCGCTCAATCTTTTATAATTTGCACTTTTCTCTACTCGCATCATCGATAGACTGCAATACTAATAGCTGTATTAATAGAGTAAGGGCTAAATGAAGAAGAATTCAATGTTATTTCGAAGGTATTCGCCTGACTTTCTACAGTAATGACAAGTGAATAAAATTCTTTTCGCTCAAGATAGCTACGTATGAAAGTAGAGTTCATAGATGGTCATCTACCAGTATCGCAAAATAATTCCTAATGAAGCGAGTCGAGAAAGAAATGGACGATATCCTTTATATGATACAACTGCTAAGTAAATCCGACATTGATTTAGTAGCCTATGCTTCCCATCACTACAGTAACTACTATCTCTACAATCACTAAATACAAAAGCACGTATTTTACCGTGGGGAAAAAACAGCCAGGATACTTGAATGACGACTGTTATTGTTGCTAAGCTATACTGCACTGTAAGGATTTTTTGACGTAAAGTTTGGTATTGGTAAATAAATTTTGAAATCGAGGGAATTATTGAACTAATGGATACGAATACCTAGCCCATCTTTTTGATATAGCAAGAAGTCTGTCTTCTTTACCACAACATGATATACGTGTACGTCATGTTTCTAACCTGACAGCTGATAGACCTTAGAACATACAGTATACGCGTACAGTAATTCGCGAACTAATGTGAGTTATCGATGGCGACGCTGTGGATTGCTTACTTGGTCCAATGCAGCGAAAATACTTCAAGATCAATCAACCTTTTCAAACACCATTATCAATACCTTTTATAATTATATTCGCAGGTAGATTCTTGTTGCGTAGGTTTGACATTTAACCGAGTGGTCAATTGGAAGAAGGCATGCAAAAAAGCAACTATGTAGCGTTCTCGGCATGCCTATATTGTGTTGAAATTTTAAGTTTGATCATGTTGTTTGTGCTAAATCAATCAAAACAAATAGGGAAGTGCAACGTTTCATTCAAGTTTTAGTGCGATTACGCAAGTTTTCAAATCATCCTTTATCGCATGATTATGATGCTTTGTTTCCACCATATTCACACCAATCGATATCGATGCAAAAGAAAATCAAATGATAGCTTACCAACAGTAAATAAATACTGCATTGGCGAAGCCATCTTACACCGTTATCCTATTACTAAATTGAAACATACAAAGAAACGGAAGAACGCGACTTCAAATTATTGATCATCAAGTTACCGTTTGACAGATGAATGTTGATTTTTTACTGAGGCCACTTTTGATTGCTCTTTGGTTGATACTTGCTTATCATTTTGATCCTGGCTAATAACACCATTTCGTACACTTTGTTTCATTTCTTGCCAATAAATTCTATTTTCTACCGTATTCCTGGAATTGTGAATAACCTAACTTAACTCAACAAACATTCAAAACTATGAATTGCAGATATGCTTCGTTGTCGTTAGATAGTAATCCAGTCACATGAATAAAGGCTAATTGATAACTTATTTATGGCCACATTGTACGTGCGCAATTGAGGCAAGAAAGAAAGTAAGGACCGTTTGAATCGTTTTTTTTCTTTTAAATAATATGAAAAAACAACTTACAACAATGAAGTAGTTGTCTGGTTGTGGATATGTAAATACAACAAAATAATACTACTGGAAATAATATAGAATAAAACGATACTGACAGGTGTAAGGCCTTGATTTCTGACCTGATTGCAATTTGTATTGTGTACACGGCGTTAAATCAAGCAACGTTCTAGTGCTAGCGTTGGCCCTATTCAAAGAGCCGATAAATAACCCATCATTCTTCAAGGGGATTTGTTGAAGAATGTTTTTGTTTATTCTGTAGTATTATCATTGAGGCATAATCATTTTTCATTCCTCTTGCCTAATGGAACGGATCGAAGCCACAAGGCTTCTCGAAATTGAAATTATTCTTTCGATCTATCCGCCGTTATTTCATCATCGATTCAAAACCGTATGACAAACTATCACCCCATTCGCTTTAAGCAAAATATTTTCTATACAGTATACTGTACGTTATAATCTTGAGACAATTAAGGTCAATTGCACGATACATTATTGTATTCGTATGTTTATTTCTGTAATTGAATCATGTTCTATACATGAAATGACATGAAAAATAGAAGAGAGAGTTCATTTTCGAATCAATCAATTTTGATTATTTACATGAGATAACTCTATTTTGGGCACGCTGTACGACGGACAAAGACACCCTTGAGTTTATGACTACCCGAAAGTAGACTTTCCGTGTCTAAATTGACAAACTATAATATTTGCGCATTTTCAGTCCAACAAACTTTATAGTATTTCATGAGTAACGGCTGGAGAAATTTTCAACCGTCGATCCATTTGTATGTACAGTAGGATTTGAACAGGCAGGCATTCATGCATTTATTCATTCCGCAAAGCTGAAAGCAGTATCGACTAGAGTTGTACTCGTGCGTATATTTGGAATCACTTTCGGTCGGCGATTGTACATTAAATGTACAGACCGCAGACAATCTACTCTACACGTAGCAATCGAGTATTCAATTGATTTTCTCTCTCTCTCTACCAGTGCAGACATTAATCCTATGGAGTGCGTCTAAACTAATACGGTTAGCACACAGGATCCCAGATGGTATGAAAGCCATGCTTTCAAGACGTCGGATTGTGAGCGATTTTTTGATCGAGTCTCCTGGCTAATCATGCGTTATCTACAGTATAACCTATCCAATACAGTCTTGGATTAGAGAGAGTTCCCTATTATTACGGAGTATCCAATACCTATCCACTGCCTAGACCAGTAAGCCTGCATGAAATGCTGCAAGACTTTCAATCTGGGTACAAGATAGTAAGACTATAGAAACGTTGTACGAGGATGAACATGTTACTCCTCTCTAAGGCGGAATCAGGCTGAGGTTGAGCGTACAGCCAGTCGATGTAAACGTCAAATAGATGTCGAGAGGTATCGGTAGCCATTTGCACTGGTAGACTTTCATTCTGGGTACAAGGTACCAAGACTATAGAAACGTTGTACGAGAATGAACAAATTACTTCTGTGTAGTGCGGAATCAGGCTGAGGTTGAAGGTACAGCCTGTAAATGTAAACGTAAAACAGATGTCGAGAGGTATCGGCAGCCATTTGCACTGGTAGACTTTCACTCAGGGTGCAAGGTACCAAGACTATAAAAATGTTGTACGACGATGAACAAATGACTTCTCTGTAATACAGAATCAGGCTGAGATTGAGGGTATATCCAGTAGAAGTAAACTTCAAATAGTTGTCGAGCGTTCTCGGCGGCCATTTGCACCTCAGCAAGAAGACTTGAGTTACTTTGCATTTGCTAGTACGACATCTGTTTTACACATATTAGTGCACTTGACTTAGTCACGTCCATTATTCCTGTCCTGTACTTTTGCTACCAAGACTGTCATGGTCATTTTCTAGTGGTCCATGGTATGGTGGAGTGTCGTTGTAGTTCCTATACGTGCATGGTATTTAGTAGTCCAGGACACTGTACACTATACACCGTATGGTACAGTATGCAACATTAATCAGCTTGCACTGCAGTACAATACTGCTGGACTCCACTATGACGTCAGACCATCAGACGATGGTGTTCTACTCGCTCAGCCTACAGTACTATATTCCCCGTAGTCCATGATACTGTACACTGTGCACTGTAAGGTACTGAACGTACGTGCCAGTCATGTTCACCAAACTGAAGCACACGAGCGGGAAATCGTCACTATTGAAAGTGCATTGCAGATTTGCAGCGGCCATTGCGCTTGATTCTTCCTCATCCATGCATGGAGGTCTGGGTGATAAATTAATCCTTGCCTTACTGAAAGAAACTTCTACTATTGCCTTACTAAGATTGCTGCTCCATCGAGGATTGAATTGAATTGAACTGGACTGCAGCCATAGCGTTGAATCAGTTATTTTGGATATCCAAAGGCTCAGCCAATTGATTAATTAATATTCTTATTATTCACTCTTACTCCACAAGTAGACGAGTAGATCGACAACTGCTACGCTCGTATCGGATTAAGGTAAGAGAGATTGGCTAAACTTTGCCATGGCTATATCGTCATTCCTTCTTATCCAGTTAAGCATGTTTCTACAACAGGAGAAATGATAGCGAGTTCGTCTTGTCTAAGCATACAGTACATAGACACATTCGATTAGGCTAATCGTTTAGTTGTTGCGCTCATACAACAGTTCATTCAACCATTTCTATCCAATACGAGTTTGATAATACTCCCATCTTATGCTAATCATTATGACGAAAGTTTCTTGGTAGTAACTCGTTGACTTGAAGATCTCTGGCAGTTCTTGACTTTAGGCATGATCATTCGTAAGCTCTATTTCCTTCATAGTCATATATACAACTGTCATTTTTGACTTTAAAGATAAATGACGGCTATATCCTTGTTTACTCCTATTGATCATGACGAAAACTTCTTGCCAGTTGCATACAGTCATCCCAGTCTTACGCTTACTTTATCATTGCATGACTTTAGGCATGGTCATTCATAATAAGCTCTCTTTCCTTCATGGCATACGTACAATGGTCATTTTACTGGACAATTTAAAACATGCTTGCTGATCGACCTGTTTATAAGCTTACCACAGTGTACAGTGGTATTGGCTAGCTAAACCCCAATGATTGATATTTGACTAGAATTAACCATCATCAGTCTGTAGGATGTGACGCGACTTGAAAGCTAAAAAACCCCAAAATTGTTGATGGTAGGAACATGTCGATACTGGCTGCGTTTTCAACCATACTGCATTAGTTCGAACAAGTAGTATTGAACGCTTTAAAGTCACATCGACACTTGTACAAGATCATTTCCATGTGGTCGACATACATACAAGTACACTAGACTGCACAGTATATACTGTATAGTGCAATCATGGCTACAGGATAAACTATTTTTAATAATCAATTCATAGTCATTCACAATCAAAGTAGAATTGATTGCCTGAGAAGTAAGTCAACATCAACGATCGCCTATTTCACTAAAACACTTGAACCAAACAGGACTACTATTTTAGCATGCCAATCCATTCTATATATAAGCCTAATTGTTTTTGCTACAGTCATGGTACGGCTAACTTGAACGAACTCCAATCTTATTTATGACTGATGTCCATAGCAGGAAAGTTTTTAATCTATTATTACGGGTACAAATATGGTGGAAATACCATTAGAATGCTGTACTACTGTAGCGTGGTCTACACCATATACGTGCTGATTCTTTCTCACATTTGTCTATCGACTGTTGCAACCATACACTATTTATACAAACGTAATACTGTATTAATTGATTTTGGACTATTGCATTGAACAGCTCCGACAATATCCACAACAATCAACATGCCACATCTATCAAAGCCTTATAAAATTTCCTCCTTTATGCCCTATTGTAAACCATCCATTGAAAGATTGGATAACTTACCAACACCTCCAAACAGACAAGGTGGAACCTGTGAAAATGGATGGCAGTGTTGGCTGTATCAAAGCTCTCATTTGGAAGTTCTTGACTGTCGAAATGGTAATTAACAGTAACATTGTAGTAATTGTTCTGATCGCTTGTGTTGGCATGGTATTCCTTGACCATTTGCAAATTATATAATACGTACATACAGTAAATTTCCAAAACTGAATTCTAGATTAAAATAATTCTTGGTGTCAAAAATTACGTAATCGGATGAATTCTGATTCTAATCGCAGTACAACACTTAGATAAAGTAGCTTTTTGCATTGAGCTAAATACTGAGTTAACCTTGCATATGGATACTAATTTCAGTAGTCTACATAGAATTACATAGGTACTGCCAAGGAATAGTGCGATATGAATAAAATTTGTACATTATGACAATACTTGCTTTTATTCCAATCGACTTTATTTTATATCATAGAATTAATCTTCAAATTTATCATCGCTTTAATTAAGGTAACTGTATCTCATCGTGGAATTGGAAGAAAGACTCATCTGCTACGATAGTTGGGGTAGATGAATTCTCATCGCATAATTCAAACATGTTAGTGATGGCTATATCAACCACAACCAACAGCTTTCTGCGTGCAGACAGTGGATTACTTTATCTTTATGATCCTGCTATTTCTCGAGTTGTTAAAGCAATCGAGTTACCATTTACTCCCACCTTTGTTTCTACCATGACAACCGATGGTGGCCCAACAGCTACTCCGGCCAACTTTGGCAATGCTTTAAGGCTTTTTTTTGGTGTTGTAGCCCTTGGTGCTGTTGATGGCAGTATTTATTTACTTGACATGGGGATGGACGATCAAAGTTTAGTTTGTGATGAAAGTTGCCCTAGAAATGTTCAAATAATTGATGCTGGCACAACGGCAGACTATGCTACACTCCGTTCAACTGCAAGGAAATATCAAATGCATCTATGTTTGCGTTTAGGAGGTGAAAAAAACTTTCTCCATATTTTTAAAGTTGTACTGTTCTTTATTGTACTGCGCTGTAGTCAATGATAGCTAATTAACTGATCTGGCCTACTTTTCCCTAACTCAATTCAATTGATATTATCTATAACGTAGTATGAAATATCGTTGATATCTTACTGTTGATCTAAACTATTCTTTTGCAGCCAAATTTCAAGAGAATGGAAAATTCTGTTACTTCTATTCCGACTTCAAACAGTATCGCAGTTTTTCAAAGAGTAAGAAGAGATTTTTGTGATAAATTATTGCAGTATGTCATGTAGAGATTAGGTTATGAATAGTACAGTAACTTTTACAATATAGCTATTATTTGAAATCATGTACTTAAATATTGCTATATAATGTCTTTTTTGCTTGCTTTGCAGAGGAAGCCGAAGTTACCTGTTTAAAGTATATTCAGCAAATCAATTGTATTGTTGCGGGTTTAAAATTCGGAGGGATTCAGTTCTACAACTTAAAAGATTACTCATTAATGTATGAGCAACCTTTTCTACTAGTTCATTGTTAATAACAACTTTATACACATGTTATTAATAATATACCCTTGCAATTGTTCTATCTTACGGGATTAGTTGTAATATGCTGTTATTTGTGTTCTAGACATAGCGTAAATGTCTTTTTAGATGATACTATAAATGGAATTCCTATTACCCATTTTGTATATCAAGAACCAGAAGATGATCCTAAGCCATTCTGCTATTTATGGGCTGCTTCAGGGTCGTCACTGAAAGACTCAACGTAAGACATGATTTAGCCTGATATCAGTAAATAGAGTTGGACAATCGATTCAACATTTATATTATTAACGGTAAATAACCGAAAAACTCTTTATGGTATTGCAGGAACCCTTCTAGTTCTGCTGTAATAAAAATGTATCAACTAAAATTTAGCCAGCGTGAAAAATTAACTGAAAGATTTTATTACATGGTATGAAAATTTACAACAAAAGCGATTGCTAACTGTAACTACAGTTGATGTTCAACAATAATGAATATTGAAAGTTGACGTGAAATAGGACAGTCAGTTAGCCACAAAGTAATGTAACATATATTATCATCTATCTTAGGCTCTTGAATCCTGCCACCCAGTATTCACTCACACCTTATCCAGCAATTGCTATTCACTATTGAATGACGCAAATGATAGCCGTTTGATATCGTGTTTTGCTATTGGTATTTTAATCTGATTTACATTGCATTTGATTTAAAATAATAATAAGCACTTGTTTTTTAGTTGCAAGCTTATTCTTGAGGATTTTTGTACAATTTGTTACGATATAGAACGACCGATTCGAGATAATGATGGAGTTAATGTAAATTCTACGCTAGCGGCTTTTATTTGGGAATCGTATAATATTGGGTCTAGTGCCTCACCTGTTTGTTACATTGGCATATTCAATATCAACGTATGGTATCACATGCATTTACCGTCTTACTTAAAGTAAGTATTTATTCGACCATTATATATCAATGTGAGGATATACGTATTGTAATTCAATGATTTTGACTTTGGAAATAATAAAATTAAAAAATTGTTCGATTGCTCGTATTCTATTTCAATAGCCCTAGCTATGTAGATAAGAGTGGTGCTTGTCCTTTTTTTGCATTTACCGATATGACAGAAGTAGCCCATTCTGCTATTGCTGATAATATTCTAGTAAGTTTGCTAAGTAATTTGATTTATCTGTTGACCATATACTATCACGGTTGATAAATTTGTAGCGTAATTAATACTGATCGATCTATCCTAATCTCTCACTTAGGTTGCAAATATCAATAGAAGAAAATTAACTCGTTATCAACCTTCATCCAATGTAGCCACAGAGCAAACATCATGGCCCTGGTCATTATCCTTTGGTAACTTTCGAGATCGATATGCAATATGACAATGATTTATAACCTATAAATGAATAGAATTATCATGTGATTGAATCACTATACAAATATGTATCGTATATGATAAAATAGTCATTATCACAGTTAGGTTAAAATTAATACTGTGTCAATGCTACACTAGTACATCTGAACGCAATATCATAAATATGTGCCAACTTGCTTACTCCACTATGTCCGTATAGTATTGGGCATAGGATCATCTTCATCTTATATACTAATATTTTAGCCTAAATTTTTTGGGGTAGATACGCTTTTTGTAATGGACACAGGACTGATAGAAGTTGAATCGTTAGGTGTTCAACTCAATGCGTTAGCTACTTTAAACAATGATGGTCCTTCTGCTCTAAGAAATCCACAAGACATTTTTCAAGCTTTTGGCATGGCTGGAATTTTACCAGCGAGTGTAGATACCAAGACAACTAATGCTGCAGTAAGTGTTATTAGCAAGTGACACGATATGTAATGCTATAGAACTCATTTAGAATTCTTTTATTGCGCAAAGGAGCAACGCTTAGCAATCTTAACAACTTGCTTAGAAGAAGGGTCATCATCATTTATATCCTCCTGTATTAAGACTTGGTCTAACATCGGTTCGTAGAAACTAGAAGTTTTTTTGCTATATTTCGTGTGCACTAGGTGATATAATTTCCTTAATTATTCTCTAAATTGTAGATTACTCCAAATCTGGATGCTCTCTACGTCTTGTGCTAGAATGGGCTTGGTTATTAGTAAACAATTACAAAAATTCGCTTGACGAATTGTGTAAGTATTCGCTTGACAATTGTGTGAGTGATCGTTGAAGATACAAAGAAATTTTTTCCTATATTTAATTAGCTATTTCTGATCTTCACACTTTTTAAAACAGGCGAACCAATCTTCGACGGAAGAGCTTTAAGTATTGGAGATAGCACCTATAAAACTTTGCGCAGATATTCTGGATTATTTCGTTATTTGACTTTAAATTTTTGTGGTCTCATCGATTATTCCGATAATACAACGGAACAAGGTTATCATTAATTAGTAGGATATCAATTTTACTACATTTGTACTGTGTATTCTAATTACTTTTGCGCTATATTTAGGTGTGGCTGAAATAGAAAGCAAATTGCAAGCAACCTTATTTATTAATGAGGTATATCATAAAAATCATTACTATTAAATTAAAATAATTCTTAAATCTGAAATTCATCATTTAAATATTCGTAATTATATTATTTAGTGGCTTGACGTATTACTTTGGCTTCTTGGTAATGAGATCTTACCAGAAGTAGCAGGTTTAAAAATTGTCTTAATACTTTTCGTATGATGCTATTTTAAAAATGATGATCTTATTATCATACGCTATTTATCATGATTTACTGATATTTTATCGGTTGCAGAGGAAGTTGCCTCATCCGATACTAGGTGAAAAAATATTTCCTCACAGATATTTTCCTTTTATTATCATTATAATCTTTAACTACTCCTTGTTTGCTTGACACCGCAGCCTGGTCTGTTTTCCTACTAAGGCTATATTTGCCGAATATCTGGAAGCCCGAAGGCAACTTTTATATACAGATCAAGGGTAAATTTAAAGTTTCTAAACCTGTTAATATACTATTGAAGATTTATATGTTATTTACAATAGATAATTTACTTATTCATCAAGGGAATTAAGAACGTGCGATACAGGATTAATGATCGATGGGATAATCGCACTACTAAAAAGTCCGGTAGATGAAATTTGGGGTCCTAGCGCAAATGGACGCGGAGTCTACCCTCCTCCAAGCTTACATGTAAAATATCTTTTACATTATCATCACTATCTATCACAATTTGATATATATATACAAGCGACTCGACGTAACAATCTGTAACCTAATATCTCGATATTATCTGATTGCAGGCTCTGCTGAATATATATTTTATTCATAGCCCTGATGTCAAAATAAAACACAGCATTGTATCTTTTCAAACGTAACCAATTTAGGATACTAGCAATGCAAATCGTTGAAGAATATGCTGTTTTTCTTTGGAAACTTTTCTTTAATTTTCAATCACCAGATTTTTTACGCGTTGCTGGACTTAGGAAAAAAGTATGAAACTTTTAGTGATCTTGCTTCAGAATTCGCAATTAGATTCGGATTAGAGAAAGGTTTAACGAAGCTACTTTATGGCCTCTGGTTACTAGATGGGCATCAGTTCGATGTAAGTATGCAAAATTGAATTATCTTCCACATTATAAAATCTAAATTATTATTTTATTACTTAACCCAATAGCTTGCCGTAGAAACTTTACGAAATCCAGTAATTAATGTTCAAATCGCTGAATGGCAAAATGAGCGAATTCTGAGGACCTTACTGCGACATAGTAATTTTATTAAATATTACTTTTAATAATGGCTATTTTGAACATCAGAATCGATTAACTGCATCCTCTTCTACATAGATCGTCTTAGATTATGTCTACAGTATTACCGAAATGTACAATTACAGACTCGTATTTCTGATAACAAACGACTGGTCTTTGAAATACTGATTGCAAATGGGTATACCTATCATTGTTATGCATTGTTAAAAATTTGTAGATTTTTCATTCGTTATGAAATTACGTTTGAGTAATATTATTAACTGTAGTTTCAAATATTTTAAAAAAATTTTAGTTTGGTGGCGGAGGCATTATCACTGCAGGTATAGTTTTTATGGCATTTATAACCAATTATATAGGCAGCAGTGTAGGCTGTAAGCTAATATTCAAAATTATGCCTTTTATAAGCCTTCGGACAAGGATTTATTTTACTACATCCTCGAGGAAAGCGACAAGTGTAAGACATATGACATTTTGATAATTGGAAGTTGAATCCAAAAGTTCTTTTATTTCTCTTATTGCACTTATTTTGATTCTTAACAGACGGACACCTGACGGAGATATCAGGAATAATAAGCAGTGATGAAGACATTGTAAGTTTCTTCTAGTAGGTACAACAATAGATAAAATAGTTAAATACTAACACTGTAATATGTTTAATAAGGCAAAATTTACCGAATGGTTGGAAAAGAAGTCACATCCTTCTAAATATGAATTGCTAGTCGATTTTTATGTCCAACGCGGACGCTATCCAGAAGCAGTTGCTGCTATGGAAAGACTGACCACAAGAGCAATGGTAGCTATATATGTTTTATTTTACAGATAATATGCTTGGATAAGCTTTATTATGATTGCGTATTATATATATCTAATAATTAGGACGCCCCTAACTATGATATGGATCGTCTTCGCTCGATGAATATTGCGATCAACGGAATAAAGCAAACTATTCCGAATATTCACCAAAAGTTACTGTCCATAAAGTCACCACATACACCAAATGAAAAATGTAAAAATCTTGTTACAGAAAATACTATATACAATACATTAACTGCTTGGATTTTGCTTCCGGTTAACTTTATAAATCTACATTTTTACAACATAATCTGATATTGTTTTACCATTTAGTTACAAAAGATTGCACGCCACTGTCGGTTGACATGAAATACTCTCAATTTTCGAATCGATCGTCGACGGAAATGTTAGGTAAAATCGTAACAAAAGTGGAGGAAGTTAGGCGTAGTTGTAAAACCAGAGCAACAAAATTTTTGCCTTTTATTAGTCCCCCCCTACTTCCTTCCGATAGCCGAGAAGCCAGGTTAGTTCTAATAATTTCAGGGTATCAGAAATTTATGGAAAGTTAGATTACTGATGTTAGGCGATCGTTTATTTTTTTGATATAGCCCTGTCAGTAACTACGGAAAGAAGGTAACTAACAACAATAAGAAAGGATTAAACAATGTATCTATCTTTCAGAGCTATCCTAGAGTTTGCATATTATGTTGTATGTGGCCTCAAAAATGTTGTAGTAATCAGTCATTAAATTTCAGGATATATCAGATCCGGAATCGCTCGAAAAGATTCTACATAGACGGTACGGCAAACACAGTTAGATAAACTTTGGTATTAATAATTTTTTAGCATAGCTTAGTAGAAATATTACTGAAAATTTAATAGGCCAGCATATAGTTCCTATTCGCAAGAGCAACTCAGTCGTATGGAATTATTGCGGGTAGGATATGCTATACAATACTGCATTAAATTAAAAATTCTTTTGTGGGTTTCGCCTTTAACAAGAAATGAATGTTCCAAATGATTTACTCGTAGAAATTGACTGCAGAAAACAAAGTAGTTAAAAAGCATGTACAATTAAATCTTGGCGATCAAAAAGATATCTTGGTAATTTTCAAAACAATATCAGCAATAATTTAAGAATTCCAGTTTAATATTTTTATTGCCTAACTGCTTCTATTTGGGAATTCGTAAGGCTAATAACATTGGAAACGATGTTAGGAAAGGTGTTATGCCGCTCCCTGACACCGTATTAAAAGTGCGTACTGTGATCTACAACTTCCGTAGGGAATTACGAATAAAATTAGCCACGAACATGTAAAATTTATGTTTTACTACTGATATATCTTTAGGTACACCATATCACACCGAAATCAGATAAATATTTTGCAACTAGAACTGAGAATAGAGCTATCGGAGGCATGCCCAGTAATTTAGAAGGCGGTAAGTACTGTATTGTATATCATATATTTTGTTAAAAATTTGGTTAATTTCATATACGGTTTGAATGGCAGATGCTGTGACCAATACTTATACGACACCGCAACGCAAGATCCTTAGGCAATGTATTGTAAACTTTTCATATGATATCACAATTGTTCATCACGGTAAAAGTGAAAAATAGCCTGTCTCTTAATTTTATAACTATTTTATTAGCTATTGAACCATCTAGTACTCGAGCATCAAGACCTTTTTCAGCTAGACCGCGTGTCAGTTTTAAAGACCAACAGCATCATAACTCTTCATCCGACGATAGTAGTTTGGTAATGCTATTTATACTTTTAATAGCTAAACTCAATTCGTTACGGTTTTTTATATCGTTTGATTCTTTGTAGATGGATTCTAAAGATAGTCAGAGTATGGATGTGGACATACAAGAAGAATCAATTAGCGATAAAAATGACTTAGATAATGACTCTGATGATGGTCCTGAAGTCATCCTTTTAGAAGGTACTCCATTAACAACAAATGATAAAGTGACCGCAAGACGCACGAAGGGCGAATCTTCAGTAGCTCATCCCTCGCGCAGCAGTGCTGTGGCCTCCTTCGTAGATGACAATGAAGATGTTTCTGATGAGAACTTGGACCCAGATAATGACAGTAACATCCATGAGATGGATATTATCCCATCATTGAAGGATAATCCTGATATTTTCCGTATAAGTACTACTGCTCCTGTTGTCAGTACTTCAAGTATAAAAGAACCGAAAACTCCGAAAACTCTTGATAGTTTACCAATTTTGAACTCTGAATTTGGTGCCTTGGATTCCACCCATGACAAAAGTTTTCGAATGAAATTAAGAAGTTCTGATGATATTTCTATGTTATCCTCTGAACTATCGCCTACAAGTACTATAGATCTCAGTGCTAGGTCGATTTTATCATCTACTTTGGCAATGGCTCATTACAGAGTGCCTCAACATTATCGATCCATCCTGGAACACTCTCCACGAGTAACGCGATCTATGAGTAAAAAACTGGCCAAGATTGCGTCTGGAAAATCAAGTGTTGCGGAGCCTTCTTTCAGTCAGCAAAGGTATTAGTACTGTCCATGACTTGCGCTAATCTAGAAATGATGATTACGATTTCACCACATCGTTCGAATAAAGTATTCAATTCAAAGAATTGTAATTCGGAAAGTACAAGCTGAGACTTAGTACTTCTTGTAGCTTTATGTTTAGTTACTGCTATTAACATATTGGTTGTTCGCTAGCATGCTTGTGTAGTAGCAAGTCGTGATTTTTAAGGCACATTCATCTTCTCAATCTTAATAAATTACATTTACCGTTTGTATACTTGTTTGACTAAAATGAACTGGTTTATTATTTTACTACATAGTCAAGTAAATTCAGAAAATATACCAATGAAATCAGCAAGAAAAATGAAATCGAACTACTCCAGGATCCCAGAAACTAACCGGGCGGAAATTGAGACTTCAAAGAAAGCTAGTTCGAATTTTTCAAATAGCCCTTTATCTTTCAAAATGCCCGCCAAAATTTTAGCACCAACATCTTCGCAACCTCAAAAGACTACTAAGAAAGGAGTTAACCTAAGAACCAAAAGCAGGAGAAAGAGTGCTCGAAGATAAAATTTTCTTCCTAGAAATCGAATGAATGTACTGTAAATCTAAATTATTATTTAAGATCGATTGTTGACACATGATCTAGTGATTCATAGATAGACAGCTAGTATTAAATATTGTACTGTAAACTCGTATCGTAAACATTCAATCATGCTTGGTACGATATCTACTTACACTTAATAAATGGCCTACTGCGAAGATTTGTAAAATTTCGATCACTTGAAAGAGACTTACTTTTTTCCTTATACCTTGTACAGTAAACTGCCTCGTTTCTTATGTAAGGACAGCAAATTATTACTCTCAGATTTTGTTATTACGAAAGTATTCAGAAGATGTTATTGATGGTATACTGATCGTGCTATACATTTAGATTAGGAAAAGAACCATAAAATAGAATAAATTCCTAGATACGCGTATTTTAAGTTAAATTATGTAGTATATTTCAAAATAGAAATATATTAACTACAGTGTCCATGGTTATATTGGACTTTCATGGTGAAAGTATGCTCCGAAAATACTTTATTTTTATTTAGCGTAACTTAATGGTGATGCATTTGTACGTTTCTAAGATCTGCTTGTAATTTGATTCTGGCTTCAGCCGGTAACCTATCCAGAGTGATTTTTCACCGTCTTGTCATAGAATATCCAGTTTATCAAAGTATATTTCTATGGCTTTGAACTTATAGCTGAACGTCGTTGCGATTGCGTAATTATATAATTCATAAATAGTATGATGAAATAAAAATGATTCTCATTTACGTTTACAATAATTAATGGATATTACATTTAACGTCTTTAATAGTTACATTTACGTTTTATATAAAATTAATGTATTACTGTATTGGGTATTCTATAATATCAGTCTATTGCATCAGAAGGAATGAACAACCAATCTAACCATAGGACTGGACACTTGAGCATACGAACCACTACTTCAGTAAATTATTAGCAAAGCGTAACTCATAAAGTATGAGCGCTGTATGTGCGATAATTTGCAATATACTGTACTTGCACACAGTATATTGCAATTTAGTGTTGAGTGATAACCAATAGATATTAGTGCCCATCGTTTGTACTGTACACTAACTTAATTTCTTGCGAAACTTAGTACTTCAACACCATTTAAGATTGCAGCTGTGATCGCTATTCAACGTAAATCTACATACTAATACATTGTATGGGCCTACTGGATAGTCCCTGATAATTGCATGAATATACGCTTTCTTTTTGCCATCGATATTCCTACTCGCGATAAACCAATGCTATAGTTTTACTTCTGGAAAGAAAAACTTGAAAAGGTATCCAAGTATCATATAGGATTTGACCTTCATATGTACCTATTCATGGTCTGCTCTGTTCTTCTCGTTACCGACAGCCTAGACCTCTCACCAAGTTCGTGCGCTAGTTTAGCAGTAAGCCCTGACAGTGGATACCTCTATATTGTAATCATAGAGACAAAATAAGATTTTTCTTTTTATCTCTATGATTGGAACTGGGGTCAGATATATGCCAATTCCTGGTATGTTCTGGTCTTCTCATTAAAGATCGCCTAGATCTCTTATTAAGCTTATACGCTAGGTTAGTAGTAAGCCCAGATTATACCTCCATCTCTATGACTGAAACTTGGATCAGATATATGCCAATTTCTGATCTGTTCTGGTCTTCTCATTAATGATAGCCTAGATCTCACATCAAGCTTATACGCTAGCTCAGCAGTAAATCCAGACCATGAATACCTCCGTATTGAAAGTATAGAAGCAGAACTTTCTATTTTATCTCTATGACTGAAACTTAGATCAGATATATGTCAATTCATGGTCTGTTCTGGTCTTCTCAATAGTGACAGCCCAGATCTCTCATCCAGCTCAGGCGCTAGCTCAGAAGTAAGAATGTAAATACGGGTGTCTCAACATTGGTGAATATCTCTATGTTGATCAGATCTACGTATGCCTATTCATGGACTGTCCTAGTCTTCTCATTAATGATAGGCCAAACCTCTCATCATGCTCGGGCGCTAACTCAGCAATAAAAGACCGCGTATACCTCCATATTGCAACCATGGAGATATGAAGGCTTTTAAAGCTGCATTTAAAACTTGAACTCTCAGGCTGTCGGTCTGGCCGGCTGTTACTAGAAGACCGCCATTGCGCAAGATCGACCTTTGAGGTAAACTAAACTTTATTTACTGTCTTGCTGAGGCTTTGAAATTTTTCATGGAGATCGTAAACTTTGACCAAGTTTATGCCAATGAGTAGAGAAAGAATTGCCTAAATAGTATTAAATGTAACTCTAACCTATGAAATAAGCATGAATCAGTATTAGTTAATAGTGGAAATTGAGATGGATGATAATCCAGCATCAGATAGATGCAATCGCAATCATTCGTTGATTTGGTAAGCAAGTCCTTTATGATCTTACCTTGGACTTGCTGCATAACAACCTTGTCGTTTATGCTTCAAAGACATCAATTAATTTGGTAAATTGTAAGTAAATGATATAGAATACCTGTTTATAGTAGTTATGTCATGTTGTGAAGGAAATTTAAGTGCCTTCTTAATGTGTAACTTCCAATTATTGTCTATTCAGTATATACAGAGATTGACCGAGGATTAAAGTGAATAGACTGTATTGGGCTTCTTGGAAAGATGAATCTAGTCCAATTGCCTAACGATGTAATTTACAAGATATTAGATTATTTGCCAGGTTTTCATTTAGGTCGATTTTCATCGACTTGTATAACCTTTTATCAGCTTATCCATGATGATTTGTTGTGGAAAGAAAAAGTTTGGAGTGAACTAACTAGAAAGCCTACGTTTGTTAAAGGAGAAAACTATTATACGTATTATAAGCGTATTTATATTGGACCAAAGAGAACTTTAGATGCCCTTTCACAATATCTGCCCAATCGTCGTTTTTTCACCTGCAATAGAGATCATCAAATGCAAATTCATGATTTACCTCGGCTTTCTATGAGCTATAGCGATTATGTTTTTGATGAGACGTTATGTTATGATGAAATAGCAAGATGGCTTAACAAGAGGAAAGAATTTCTACGTATTGCTGCGGAATCTGGTTTGGAGATATGGGGTCAAAGAATAATTCAGCAAATCTTAGCTCGATGTGGAGAACTAAATTTTTCTAACAATAAACTATCTAGTCCCTTTTATATTGCTATTTTAAATCGTCAATTACACTTTGTACACATGTTACTGCAATATCCATGGCCAGATAAATTGAATCCATGGATAGAGAATCAAGAAAACAGCTGCAATTACACACTAACAAATGGACTAATTAAATGTGGGTATCATGGTCTACAACTACTACGCGACTACTTTATGCTTATTAACTTGCCTGCCGTCCAGAAAGCCGCTTTAATTGGTGATCGTGTGCGCTTAGAACATTGCATCCAGGGAAATACCAATCGATTGAATAACCCATTCCCATTTACAGCTCTATTTATGGCTATTCTAGGTAAAAATGTAGATTGTATACGATTATTAATCCGTTATAACTGCAAACCAGCCATTCGAAAAATTAAAGGTATCCAATGGCCAGTGAATGAACTAATACTGACGATGATTACAAACAATTTAACATGCTTTCAAATTATACTAGAAGAGAGTTGTGGAACAGTATCTATGGCTTGTATCCGGCAAAGTATCGCCTTCGCACTCCAACATGGGCATACTGAATTTATTGATTACCTACTAAATCGCCAATATCAAGGAATCATACAAGAAGAGATTTACCTCCTATCAAGGAGAATTATCTCTCATAAAAATGTCAAGATTGCACACTTACTACGTTTCGCTGGATCATTAAGTAAAGCCCTTATTCTAAAGTTAGTACCCCTGTTACCCTACTGTTGCCAAAGTCAAAGTTCTTATACTGATTTTAGTAATTATAATGATGCGGTATCCATGATTACCATTCTACAAGACGACAACCTAACTATTGAACAAGTTGCCCAACAAACGCCATTTTATCAACTTATGCAGTTTTGCAAAGCTATAATTAATTATAGTGATAGACTGGATGGCTATTCTTATAGCATACTTTTAAATGTTGTTGTGAAAACTAGATCATTTATTACACTCTCTAATAGCAAATTGCAGCAAAAGTATGACCATGTATGTGCGGAATATATTCGCCTTATAATTAGTTGGGGAGCTGACGGGATGATATATCGTCGTAATCGACTTGGTCAAACAATGCATGAATTAATCATGCAAAGTCAAAAAGAATGCTGGATTAACACCTTACCTTCGGATAATCTATTGGATACCATATAGAAATCGATTGAATCATGCTATATCGATTTTTTGATTAAAGTCTCATTTAGCTTGGGAGATAATACTATTTCTTAAGCTACAGTAAAGATTTTCTCTAATATCATCCATGGCAATTTTTGATAGTGTAACTAGCCTTTACTTGTTACTATTAAATATGATCAAAAGTGATTCACCGTAGAAATCTTTCTATGGATACTGTAAATTGTATTAACGCTAATATCTCGATTTCTAAATGATTTCCTTTATAATAATGTATAATCGGTTAATAATATTTTAATAATAAGTATACTGTATGGTTAAAGTACAGTATTTGTGTATTTCTAACAGGCTTCTGTTTTATAAAATATCATTGTAATTCATTTTATTCTATTAACATGTGCTTCTTATACAGTAAATATGCAAGATCTAAAATTGACCAATTTATCGTAAAATTAATGTTATGAACTCAATCACGCATTAATATCTTGTATTTATTTCTGGAACTGTAGGTAAGCCTTGTAATACAAACGCAATTACAAGCCTATAAATAAACAGTTATGATAATGCCCCCATTACCTTTATACGCAAATCGAATATGGACGATACGGTTAAATGATTGCTATTATAGAGAGCTCTGATGGACCTAAATTCTAAGCCAATCGATTTACAATAGCATAAATCTCATGCCTAAAATCCTGCTGTGCTAAAAACTTGAGAAAATAACAAACGGATTATCAATTCAAGACGTGCATTATTAGACCTACATAAGTATCTAGGAATAACTAATGAATTACAGTTATACTAAAGGCAAGAAATTTCACTTCAGTTAGTATTCTCCATTTATTTTGATAGCATTTGCTTCAAAGCATCAATTTGGGCATACACGTATGAAACATGCTACCTGTAATCTCTTTAAGTAATCAAATCTACCAACAATCGCAGTTGATAAGCTATAGATTTATTTTTTAATTATTATAAAGTACCCTATCTTTCTAATGTTATTTATAATAGATTACATTGGGCTATCGGTTATATCTGATCTTATCACGTATGCACAATGGATCATTCTTTCTTTAAGGACATGAACAAGTGAAATTTGATTTTTAAGATAACAACATAGTTGAAAGGGTTCGACGGAGAAATATTTTTAATTTTCGTTAATCATTAAAGTAACTAATTCAATCATAAGGTAATTGAATCGTATTGTGTTAGAATGGTATATTGCATTAAATAAATGAATATATAAGTTAAGTTATCGTATACTCGTATAATAGTAAAGGTAATATATACATAAAAAATGTACATTTTCATAATAGCTAAGAAAGTCCTTCTCATAATGCGTCGTAAATGTAAAAACTATCACTTACTACCGAATGATACTAAAGTTACAATAATACTGTCATCTTGAGATAACATCACCTGGACAGACGGGTATTTCACCCTAACATCAGACAGTAAGATATCTATTTACTTCTATAGCTGATTATTAATTTAAACGTATGTCGACAGCTACATACTAATACAATCGATAAATATTGCACGATAATTCATGCAAAATAAGCTTAGCTACAACCTATACACATGTGATACAATTTACTAATTTACATGCCTATTCTACTCCAGTTTTTATCCAATTTATCATATTGCTAAAAGACTATCACATCTGCTGTCTTGTAACATTTTAGGCAGCTTGGATTATAAGGCCAGCGTATCCTACGCTATGCAGTAGCTGCTAAATTATGTAGATAAATTATAATCACCAAAATTTCTATCGTGATGTAATATTTTTGATGATTTATGATAATTTGCTATTTACTGTCTATCAGTGCAATACGCCATTAAAATTTTTAAGTTGAAATTTAAATATCATTGCATGTATGGGTTTCAGGATCGTTGTCAAGAACGCCAACTGCCAAATAGTTGACGGCAATATCTACAGTTGTTGTTCTTGTCATAACTGTAGCTCGATCAGTTTGTATTTTCGAGCTATTAAGCAATTCAACTTTTTTGCTAATAGAATTAAGAGAATTTCGAATATGAGAATCGCGCGTAACGATATTGGAATGTCTTCTGATTAACTTATTAGGACAAGCATTTTTGTTAATAATTTGGAGCCACCATTCACGTACTTCTTGTCTGCATAAGCAGTACAAGAAAAACATAAAAAATCCTTGATAATTGGTAAAAACCACAAATAGGAAAGTGAAAATCTTTGAAACAATCTCCGATTGCACTGTAGCTAAACTACTTGTCATCCAGGGTAACCCTAATACAATAACTATCCAAAATAATGCTCGTAATCGTGCAGTTGTCATTTTTGCTTTTCTTTCATTGGATAATCGTCGAATATGGCGATATATAAACAAAAATATGATGAAATTAGAACCAACCATCACCAGCATCGGAACAATAAATAGACCAGAGATAGTATCAACCTGAAGCCAACATCTAGATATTAAGCAGAAGTCATTAATCAATCTTTAATGTCTGGCATGGACTAAACAACTTTACAATTGTGTAGAATGGTGTGGTAGAGCACATCAACATGACGAATTACTGATGATTCTGTTTGTAATAATGCAGATGTGCTAGTACACGGTAGTAGAGTTAATTCTACCAAAATGGGGTTTTAAAAGATGGTTCAATGAAACTTACGCATTATCTGAATTTCTCCCGAAAATGTTTTTTCCGATGATGGACGAAAGAAATATTATCGTAGCAGGGACGCCTAACATAGAATAGAGAAATTAGCAGAAATGAAATGAGTATCTTTCGTGCTGTTAATAAAACTTAATTATTCACGTATTTCGATATTAAACTAGTTATTTGAGCAATTTTGCATGTAAAACTGAGAACATAATGGACTACTATCAAATTGTTATATATACTTTGAGCATCCTAATCAAAACCCATCATATAAGCTAAGTACTAGGGTATTCGATTTCAAAATCTTCTGCTGAAGCAATGGCATTATATAGCAAGGCTTTTAGCTCACCGTAAGCAAATATGCAAGCTAGAAGAATATTGCATTTGGTTGATATGAAATTAAACTGGGAATAGACTTTGATTAATTCGACGTAAAGGTGGATCGCCAAAATAGTCATCAAAATAACTGCTGACAAATAGCAGAAATACGATACCATGGCAATCATGATACAGCCAACAGAGCTGAGAGCCTGAGACATAACCAAAAAGTTGACTAACGCGGTTCCCATCAAGCTTAAAGACAACATCGCAATAACTTGATTATTTTTCCTTTTCCTTAGTTTTCTTTAGCAGGATCATTTAGGTAAATTATCGAACAATTAACAACGACAAAAACATTAAATTAAATGTCGTAAATTATCTATAGGAGCACCAAATGCAATTAGTAAATCGAAAATTGAATTACCTTGCAGCGACTAGCGTAAGGAAAGTTATTGACGCGCCAATCATAGAAAGCACACTGCCAATTTTTGCTACTACCATTAAGGTGAGTGGAAAGTGATCATCTTCATTACGTTCCATTATACACAAGAAAGTAGAATTCTAGCAAGTTGTAAGTAAAAATATTAGATAAACATAGTACAAGGAAATGAAAAATTCACAGCTTTCAATCAATAGCGTAAAACTATCACACTTCCAGCTCTATAGGTTTCAAGATATGGATCCATTTTACGAGAAGCAATCCGATCTATGATAGCTACAGTATATTATGGCAGCAATTTTAAATCACTGGATCGTAGTTACTGAAATGGGTTCAAATGTATAGGAATGAAATGAAGACAGCTAACTAGCTATAGCCTATTTACTTCCATCGTCCATGTGTACAGCGCAGTTGTATTTAGTTTAACCGTATCAGCAATTTTTATATCATAGCAGCATGATAAAAGGTAAATCAATGTGGCAGCTATACGTGTATTACTCTATAGCATACTCTAAATTGTTAAAAAAGATAGCATACGACACCAACGATAACTAATTAATTAATTACAATTTATAATCTGATTTAAAAAGCTTTCGATCAACGCATGCCGTTCCAGAACGTAAGTAAATGTGGAAAGTACTGCAATTTAGTTTATTTTCTTCGGTGAATTAAATTATATTATAATAGTCATTTATTTTGATATAAATTTATATGATTGATATTGATATGACTAAAATTTGCTAAGGAAATCTCATGTGCTATTACATCGGCAATTCAGTACCCATCATGTAGTTGTTGGCTTGCTGGCTATTAGCAAAGTAACTGGCAATCACAAGATATATATACGATTATAATACAACATCTCTATACAGCATCAGACCCATTCGCAAATAATACTCTACAGCAATTGCATTTACTGACTATGCAATAAAATACGGTTTGTGTAGCATTTTAATTATAATGATTAAGAAATATAGACGGTGTAGTAACACATTTTGGCTTATATAATATGATCTTATTTTCGGCTTACCTTATCATAGATGGTGTAGTTGATGTCATAGGGCAAACATTTCCCAGCTATTGAGCCATGACTCGATCCTTTGCTGTAGCCGTATCGATTTCTTAGGCTAGCATTAAGGCAGCCCTTAATTACCGTTGAATTTCTGTTATCCAAAGTAAGTCCATAGGAAAATTAAAGTTATTCAATTGCAATAGAACGAACATCATGTCGCAACTATTGCACGTCAATTTATCTCAAGGACTGTATATATTATGAATTGGAATCATTCGGGTAATTGTAAAGGTATCCCATGTTTAAAACATTTTATCCTATAAACTAGTGCTGCTATTTTGTGTACAGATATATGCATATACAATATATATACAATAAAATAGCTATCATATCCTAAAATATCATTAAGCTTATAACAAACCTGCATCTGCTGCAATTACCCCTGTTATGCTGTATCGAGGAAGTCATAAAGCTTTTCTCACTGTTTAAAGAATAAATGATAGAGTTAAGGCCGCTAATAATATACTTACAATTAAATGCGCATACAAGTATTCCTACAGTATAGATGAGTATGTTCACGTATGTACAGAGGAAATGTAAACCCTTAATGCAATGAATCCTTTTCTCAGTCAAGAAATATAAGACAAAAACAAAACTCGATTACACGACCACTGTAATAAACAGCTGCGCCGTAACGATCTTAAGTCTACATTTGGCTCGACCTAGAAGCACTGTATAGGCAATATTAAATAAAGTAAGTATAAAGTCTTTATAAATTGAAATCGATTTCTCTCGGCTGCATAGCATATCGCTATAGGAAATACTCAAGTATACTGTATGTGGTTTAATTCGTCAAGATCTATGGATCTGAATGTTCGAATATCGGAGTGCCTTAACCTACCTCCCTCCTTTAAGGGTACAACGAAAGGAGGCCTGTAGTCTATAAAAAGGCTTCTGGGTAGGCATTTTTATTTTTGGTCCGTACAGTATGTGTAAACCTTAACCTACAGTAACAGATTTTTCAAGATTGTTTTTATGATTATGTCTCCGTTATTACACCATTTGCAGGATTTTTTGTTACATACTAAAATACCAGAAATCGCTTATAATTGCGTGAAAATCAAACATAAGAAATCCATTTAAATCGAGTAGAACATGTTAAAGGTTGTTGCAAGCTAATAAAATAGCAATTAGCGCTTGTTCTACATGAGTCAACATTGATATACTAGTACAGATGTTCTCATTTTGTTTACAATGAAATCAATGAGACTAGACAGGAAATAGAAGTCAATGGATGAGAAGCCGTAACTGAGCACTTAAAGAACGATTTACTATAGAACGAATACGTCAATCATGATATGATCCAAGCGTACCACCTTTAAAAAATAGAATCCAAACATTTAAAATGGTCCTATTTTGAAAGCACCATCTTCGTGCGAACTCTATTCAAGGACTATAAGTAGAATATTCTCTTTCTAGGATAGAAAGTCTCCAACATTCACTATCACTTCGGAAATCGCCATCTGTAAACTAATTTCATCCCTCCCCTGCTTGAATAATTAATTTACTGCAGCAATGGAGCAGTTCTACAACACAAAGTAGTTGTCAACTAGATTGGTCGATTAATAATTAATTATTAATACACTGAGGTGCATGACTGACATTATTTCTTGCAATATGGGAATTCAAAAGTGCAAACAGAATCGAATACTATGTATACTCGAGGAGCCACAGCTTGTGATACTTCCACGTTTAGTAAACGCCCATTTTAAATGCTATGTTGCAAAATCGTGTACCTCAGTGAATTCTAGAGACGCACAGTAACATGGATTAAAGAAGATTTTGCAGGTGTGTGAATTATTCGAGTATATCAATATATAACATATATACAGTACACTCGCTTTCTTAACCAACCTACGAAGGAGTTATTCATCCCCTTCAATTCATGGTACCGTAGTATTGGATATGAAAACAGTTATTGTCACTGCTGAGACAGGCCGATAGTCCTTGATTTAGGATAAATTAAAGTTGAACAAAAAAGTGAAAGTTAGGCTATTTTATTTGGGGATACTTTATCACGGTTGGCCACTTGGGCCGAATAGGATGAGTGCAGCCACTATCGAGGAAGGATGCTCGAGAGAGAAATCCTTTGCGATTCTTGCCCATGGCTCGTTCGTCCAAAGTCCGACTGTCCGAAAGAGAAAGCATCACGTGATAAATGGCATCAACCATAACAGTGATCGGGACCGGGTATTGGGTCAAGCACGCAGTCACGCCGTGTTGCACACGGTGTCACACGGCGTTGACACGATCGGCCGACTCCAAAAATTCAAAATGGAATCTTGCTTTTCGCCTCCATTTTGACAGTCTAAAATGATTAATAACAATTCTCAACGACAGTGATGCAAGGAAAGGATGGCTGGATTACTATAGCCGATAGACCTTGTCACTTAACTTGATAATGAATGATAAATTGGGAGACTAGTGAATGACATTCTCCACGTATTATTGGTGTAGAAACAAACAATAATGACTGGAAAGTATATCTCGGAAATTGCCAAAAGCCAATGATAATCCTGTGATGATATCGTCACTATGGCCGATAGATTCGAAATATACTGTAAACCTGTAATGTATGTTAGTAGAGACCCTAAAAGATCCCTTTAGGGTCTCTAATGCATATATATATACAATACGTTCTTAACCTTACTTTATCAAGACATCCACTTCTACACTGCAGACGATCACTGTATTCCCTAATAACATCTCACTACTGTCATCCGCTGAAATCATTGGAAAAAAAAACGACAAGGACGCAAGAAAACGAAGGACGGATTAGCATAGCTAATAGTCTTGTCACTGAACTTGGTAATGAATGATAAATTGCAAGACTAGCGGATGACATTCTCCACGTATTATCAGTGTAGAAACAATGACTAGACAAGTATATCACGGAAATGGCTAAAAGCCAATGATGATCAGGTGATGATGTCATTATGGCCGATTTACTCTAAATAGAAGTCTGTCATGTATGGTAGAGACCATAAAAGATCCTTCTGGGGTCTCTGGTAGATACGTTCTTAACCTTACTTTGCTAGTTCTACACTATATACGATCACTGTATCCCCTAATATATAACTACCGTCATTAGCTGAAATCGTTACAAAATGGAAGATCACTATTTTATCTGCCCATGTCGAGAAAGCATCCGTAAGTAAATACTTCTACTAGAGAAGTGATGGCATTACAACAACACAATTTGTAGTCAATAGCCATCTTAATGGAAGGAAAATATCAATGCAGCTATTGATCCCACTGTAAAAGAAAGATTTCTCCATGACAGTGAAGAGGGTATTATGGATGGGCTTTTCTTCCTGATTCCTTGTACTGTACTATTTTTAATACAGCCAATCCCACAAAATGGACTAAGACATAATCTTACTCTACAATCAGCACCGAGGATCAATAGCGTGATGGATAAGCGTCATTTTTCTGTCGGAAACAAATCGTTATCAACTTGGTGACAACCCGATCAGAACCCTATGATGGGGCTCTTTCTTGACAGGAAAGCCTTATCCATTCGAATGTCTCTTCGTAGTCACTCTATGACTAGGCATGTTTTTAATCTTTAGTAGTATTTGAAAAACAACAACAGCAACTGCTATCGTTTAGATAAACAAGTTGAGCAGCTCGATATTGCAAGGTGGATTAAAAGTTAGGGCAGTATCGATTATTGTTACATTATAACGATTAAAGCTAACTTTAGTTCATGCTACAGTGTACAGCATATCGCCATTCGTCACTACAGCTACTTACTTCATCTCATAGTATATGCAATAGAATCATGAGATTATGAAAATTCTACACATGTTATTAATGAAAATTTTAGCTAAGATTATGTTATCTTAAAAAATCGATACCTGATTTCCTTGAAGTATATAGCAACAGTAACATTGGTTTCGTTCAAAATCTAGTAGATCAGATTAGATTGAAGTTTTGAAAATTTTAAAGGTCAATAATCTGCCATAAAACGAAGTATTAGCATAGCCCAAGCGTCGTCAACATGTCCAAATGAACACGTCCATAAATGTAAATAATATCCAAAATAATATATAACACTTCTATATTACTTTCGAATGGACTAGTAGTCTTAATACAGGACTTCTCGTAGTCTCTGTCTTAATAAAGTCAAGCAGTATTCACTATTCATTTCTAGGAAATTATACTTTGCAAGAGCGACATCAAAAGTATCAATTTACTGGCTTGAAAACCACTAAAAGTAAAGGAAATAATTGGTTCAAAACAGTCAACTGATTGAATTGATCTATTGGTAATATCAAATTGGTTTACAAGCTCTGTGGATGGCGATTAACGAAATGTGCCAATCATGAATTGATCTGTAGGCCATCATGAAACGTTTATCCATCTAGTACATTAAAAGACTAACGTAGAAAAGTATTTTCAATGTTTCAAAATATTCTTAAACACTCATCGACATCATAATCAATCATAACATAGGAGTATTCCGTGACATTATTAGTAATTACGTTGGGCCTACCTTATTTGTTACTATCCGCGTAAGGCGTTGATATTGAAGCGATGATGAATCTTTTAGCTTTTCTGGAGGACTACAATAATAGTCTAATACCATAGTGAAAGATGCAGTGACTGAGCTACCGTTGTTATCGCCATAGACTATCATGCTTTGGCCGATGACAGCCAAGAATACCAAGATAGGAATCGTCATTTTTGCATTTTTTGAAATCTTTGTCATGCTGCCAAGAAAGAAATAGAGCGACAGTCCAAATTAATTCTACAATAAATACTTGACCATTCCATTTACGTGCACACATACATACGGCTACATCATGTCGTATATTATACTTACAAAACAAAAATATCTGCGGATGAATAATTCAGTAATTTCAGATGGAACGTATTCGATTACAAGATTGCTTAAAGTAATAAGATAGTTACATGGTATATCTTTATAGCCTACTCCGACACGACTGTTTTAGACATGATCAAATTGAAATAATAGGCAATGTTCAATAATTAGTTTTCAACTCTTTGTTATCTTTATAGTCCCGTACTTTAAATTTATTTATTTGCCAATTTTATTGTACGAGCAATGATAACAAAAGTCAATCAAGAGCCCATAGAAATCAAGATAATTATTTTGAAGTCTGTTTTGTTTGAACAGACAGCACATCTGTGAATTTCAATTTTTCTCAATAATTGCTGCAAACAACAGAGTAATTATTATACTGGGTATGGACAAAGTCAATGAAATTGATTAACGAAATTAAATGCTCAGATGCTGTAATAAAATAGAGGAGGAAAGACAGATATTTCCATCTACTGCACTGCACGTACGCGCTTTCCCAATGCAATTAAAATTTTTCTTGCAAGAACAAGTTTGCTTGCACTCTTGCTTATTGCAATATCGGCTAAGGGGTAAGGATGGCTCATATTGGGTATTGGCGATATTACAAAATTAAAAATTGTTCTGCATAACATCTTGATGTATTGCTAATCAAAAGTAACCTTGAGCGGTAGACAGATACATTGAACCATCTTAAAATATTTAATCGATAAAATACCAGAACAATCCTTTTACCTCGATTAATGAATTTATTCTGTCTATATTATACCAATTACGTCAGCTTGGTTATGCATGATTAAGTAATAGACGAGAGTACAGAGAACAGTTGCTCTACGACAATACTCACCATGGCTAGGAACTATTCCTACACTCTTATTGCTTTAATGTAAAACATTTCAAACAAATATATAATGAATTAGTAAAGATGTATAAAAACGGTATAAAGAACTCTTACAGTAATGGACTAGAGTATCGTAAATACTTCCTCTACTCGAATGCTCACCATGGTTAGGGGGACTATTCAAAAATTCCTATAGCATTTAATGTAACATTTTCTGAAGAAGTGTATCATGAATTAGCC